ATTAATAAAGGCATAAGTATTTTTAAAATACGATTAGCTTATAATATTTACCCTTAATTCGGGTATAAAAAGGCAGTTTCTTAAGATAAATAGCCTTTTATTTTTCGGAAATCTAAAAAGAAGATCTCCGCAGCCTTTAACAATTATATAGGATGCCTTTCCCTAATTAACCTTAGTAGAGATAGTTCGAAAATTAATAAGGAATTTCTTTTCCGATACTATATACCTAGTAGTACCGGTATTATATATAAAATTATAGAAATTTCTATTTTCTAAGGTTTTATAAGGGATTTCCTTCTCTTTTACCTTATATATAAGGTCTTTAATTCGAGAGGAATTTAAAGGTCCTATTTGCCTATTATTAAATACGGCTTTTTTAAGGATATTCGAAGAGATATATACCTCTGCTTCTTCTTCGGAGCTTTTATATCCTCCGGGGGTAGGAGGAGGAATAGAAAAATCGATTTCCGGTTCTTCGTCCGTTTAATTATCGATTTCTATTTTTTCTGCTTCCGATATATATAGAGAAGAGGGCTTTTTCGTCTTCTTATCGACGTAAGAGTCTAATTCGATTGGATTTCCTTCTATAGAAGGTTTTCTAGGCCTCTTAGAAGGTATTCCTTTCTTTTAATTTTTTGAATTTTTAGAAAAGCCTTTAGGGCCTTTTCCGGTAAAGATAGTAGCAATCTTTAACTAGATGCCCTTTCCTCTTATAGTAAGTGCATTATAATGCAATTTTTATCTTTTTCTAGGGCTTCTTAGTAAAGAAAGCCTGCTTAGGAGGATTTTCTAGAGACTTAGTCCTCTTAAATTTGTCTATAAGACTACTAGAGAGAGACTCTAGATTAAAAGCTTCTAAAAAAAGCTCCTTTATAAGTAGGTAATTCGAGGTAAAGGAAATAGGGTTATATAGGTTTTTTAACCTATCCCACGCCTCTTTAGCATTTGTTATATACTTTATTTAGGTTAAAGGACTATCTTTAATACGAAGAAAAATCAAAGTAAGTGCTTCTTCTATTTTCGAGTAATTTTCTTGCTATATAATAGTAGAAAGCTTCTCTTTAACTAAAAGAGCCTATATTCGAATAGCCTAGAAAGTATAGTTAGAACTACCCTTAAGTTTAGCAAATTCGAACTTATCCTTAGAGCCTATTTTAGATAATTCGAGGTCGTATAGTTAGTATTGGAATTTCGAAGATTTTTCGAAGTTATTACCCGACTTATAGAGAAGCCGGGCTTATAACCTATAAGAAGGTATAAGCAATAAGCGCAGAATCGGGTAATCGATAACGTAAGCGGAAAGATCGGTCGAAGGAGTATAGGGTAGGATTTCGTCCGGAATTTATAACGAGTATATAAGGGGCTAAATAATATATTAAAAGAATAGCGTTATAAAAGTTACTTATAAACTTACTTATTTTATCTACTACTCCTAGGGAAATCCTTTGTCTTTTATAGACTATTGCTCGCCTACTAGTAGACTAATTAGTTAGCTTTCTAGTATATTCTATAGTGCTTAAAAAGCTCTATATATAGTATGTCTTCCTAACTTAGTAGATAGTTTAATTATTACGTGATAGTTAACGTAAGACTATAGGTTCTAGTATAAGTAGTAGATTTAACTAGAATGTTCTATGCCCTACCTATTCTCGTATCGCGGATATCTTTAGAACCGCTAGTCTAAAATAGGCAATAGGGTATTTATTCTGCTAGTAATTAACTTATATATATTATGCATATTTTTATTTATTAGGATAGGCTTATCTTAACCCGCCTTTCCTAAAGGAAGGTATAGATATCTAGTAGAAGTCTTTTATCTTTAAGGGTTATTCCCTTAGACTATTTTATAGAGCCTCTTTTTACTAGCTTACTCTATAGAGCCCCCCTATACTTATTATTTCTTTATATTAGTAAAATAGGAATATAAGGGTATATTCTTATAACTAACTTAGCTATATTAAGTTTACTATAATTAATATAAAGCTTTATAAAAAGGTTAGCTAGTCTATTTATACTAATATATATAAATAGTAATAGATACCTTTATAAGTATAAGGATAAGCTTATATAAAGACAGTTAAATTAAGTATAGATATCCCTTATTATAGCGCTATTAATATAAAGCTTTACTTTTATATAAAGTAGCTATAGCTTAAGCTTTATAAAAGTGCTATTAAATTTATTAAAGTATAATAATATTACTCTTAGTTATATAAAGCCCTACTATTATAAGAGGCTCTTAATTACTTAGGCGAACTAAGTATTACGTTTACTTTAATTTTATAACTATAGAAGTATAGATATTTTATATATATATTTACTAGTATAGGCGGTTTAACTAAACTATATAATTAAACGTTAGCTTTAAAAGCAGCTAAAATAGCTATTTTATATATAGGGATAGAAAGAGGGTAAAATAAAAGGTAAATTATACTATTGTAAAGTAGGTATAGGTATAAGCTTTAGTATAGTTTATTTAAAAAAAGGTTAATAATTTATAAGGGGGAAAAGAAAGAGAAGTATAGGCCTAGCCTATATAGACGTAGAGGCCGCTTATATATAGACTTAGCCTAGACCTTAGTCTAGGCCTATATATAGTAAAAGCCTTTATATTATTCTAGCCGTTACCGGTATATCTATCTTATCTCTTACTACCTTAATAAGAAGCTATCGCTACTTTTACTTTCCCTTTCTCCCTTGCTTTCTTTTTTATACCTCTTTTTAGCTCCTTCTTCCTTTTTCTTTTACTAGTATTTTTAGCTTCCTAGGTCCTTCTTACTAAGGGATATCTCTAAGAACTATAAAATTAAGCTATACTTTATAATAATATTAATAGTCTTTCCTAGCTTATTATTACTAATAATAGTATCTACTAGCTCTCTTTCTTTAAGGTGGGAATTAAAGGTTTAAGCTAAGTACTTTACTTTCTTATTTAAATAGTTCTTTAGCTATTCTTTAATATTCTATTTAGCTAGATTATTATATTTCTAGCTTAATAAGGGCTTCTTATTATATATTACTTATAGTAAGTAGTAATTTTCCTACTAGCTTATTAAGCTACTAATATACTACTTATAGCTAATATATAAGCTTCTAGCTTATATATTTACTTTCTTAGAGATTTAATTAACGCTTTCCTTTTTTATAAGTAGTTATAACTTCTTCTTATAGGTATATTCTTATTTAAAGTTAGTAATTAAGTTCTTTTAAGAAAGTTAATCTTTACTATTTCTTTTACTATAAAGGTTAAGAGCCCTTACTATTATAGACTAATATAAGTCTTATTTATCTACTACTATAAGAAAATCCTATTTAATTCTTATACTATTAAGTATATTAACCTTAAGGTCTTATAAATCTATAATAATTTAGTCGAGCTATTTTACCTAAGCCTTTTAGTCTTTAATGCCTCTTTTATTAATAAATACTATATATCTCTTATAAATTAGCTTTTTCTCTTCTACCCTTAATACTAGAGCTTATTTTTTTAATTCCTTAATTTTCTCTCTTAAGCTATTATATATTAAGGTTGCTTATTAAAGCCCTTTATTAATCGTTTTCTTAATTAATTTAAGTATAATTAAGGCTTTCTATTAGACCTTATAGCGATTAAATTATAGCTAGAATCCTTACTTAAGGTTATAAAAGGAGTCTTTTATATCCTAGCATTATTCGTTATAGCTTATTTATCTTATAAGAAATATAGCCTTAGCTTTATCTTCTTATTAAGTAGGTCTCCTTTTAAGATTTATAATAAATTACTTTTAGTCTAGCTATTAGGGCTATCTAAGCTACTTTATACTATCTAGGTTAGTATATTCCTAAATCCTATAAGTCTAGGCCTATAATTTAATCCCCTTAATTTATAAGGTTTAATCGAGGCTTTCCTTTAACCTTATAATATAGTTATCCCCTCTTACTTCCTTTAATAATATCTTAGGAAAATAAAGGTCTTACTTAATACGTAATCTCCTTCTTTAAGGGATATATAATTTATATATTTCTAGTAATACCCCTTAATATAGCTAGGTTCCTTACCTTAATACTATAATTTAAGCGTTATAGTAGCGTTAATAGCTCGTAAATAGCTTTAAAGGTAATATCGGCGGGTAAAAGATACTCTAGCTATATAGGCCGGGCTTATAACTATTAAGTAATAGCTTAAGAGTATAGTAGAAAAGATAGGGGCATAGAAAGGTAAATTTAGTAATATATATCTTAGTCTAACTATTAAGATAAGGGAGGGGCTTACATAGGCATAGTAACTATATATAGCTAGCTAAAGGAGGGTATTAAGATATTCCTATACCTAAGTTAGGCCTATATTATATCCTTAGGCTAGGGGAGTTATATTAGTTAGGCAGGCTCCCTTATGCATGACTATTAGGTCTACTAGGCATGACTGTGGCCTCTTATGCCCACTCTCCTCAACACTAACATATGAGGCAGTGGAGTTTAACTCACGAGTTCTTCAAGTTGGCATGTGAGCTACAATGCAGTTTCTCAGTCAGGACCCCTGTCGATTATTCGAAGCAGTCGACCCCTTATAACTCACTGTTCGCGTTGAGAAGACGACTTCCGATACAACACAGACAATAAGACAATCTGGGATTTTGCTGCGCAAGCTGGATTCCATCGCGGCACGCTCTTGCGTAGGCGCCCACGCACCCGCACTTTGAACCGCCGTACGCTCGAGTCGAGTCGGATATTCTCAGCTTCCACCAGCACCTCCATGGCTTATAGGATCCACTTGCAGTACACTTGCTGGAGTGTACACTTCACTTTGGACCGCACGCCACAGTGGTTTTCCAACATGTCAGAGCAGAGAATGGACGTATGATACGCGTTGATAACACCTCCACTGGGGGTGCCCCCTATTTTGCCTGGTGTGGCGGTATTTTATCAGCTTGATAGATATGCATTCTCCTCGCAAAGGCTACCCGAAGAGGTCAATCGTGAAAGTTACCCCCCTCGGACGTCCTCTCGAGCACCCCATCTGCTCAAAGTCGAGAATCCTTCGCCGAAAAAACCCTCGCCACCTCGCCGGCCCCCCCGCGTGCGCCAAACATGTCCCTCAGATCCGCCACCAGCTGATCCGGCCTCTCATGCGACGCAAAGTGCCCGCCCTCTTTGTGGAACCGCTCAAACACGACGGGTCCCAGCGTCCGCGCCCACGTCTTGGGCACCACGACGACGTCCCGCGGGAAGACGGAGTAGCCCAGCAGCACGCGCGGCACGTACTCGACGCCGCGGGCCACGCGGTCCATCTCGGCGTGCCGACTCTCGTAGTAGATGCGCAGGCTGGCCGCGGGCCCGGCCGTCGAGAACTGGTAGATGGAGATCCAGGCGAGCACCTCGTCGTCGGTCCAGGGGTAGTCGTCGGTCCAGTCGTGCAGTTTTTCGTAGATCCACGCGAGCAGCGCAACGGGTGAGTCGGCCATGCCGAAGCCCAGGGTTGACGGCTTCGTGCTCTGCTCCACGTTGTAGCCGTACCCTTCCTTCCGGAACCAGGCGCTCCGCTCGAGCCCTTTCTTCTCTAGCTCAGAGTACGGCTCGATGGCATGCTGTAGATAGAGGAGCGGCGACTTTGCGAGGGTGGGCGGTTGCCTTGCGGGTACGAAATTGACATGTGTGGCCAGGCAATGCTCCGGATATTGGACGGCCATGAGTCTGGTGACTATGAAGCCCCAGTCGCCGCCCTGGGTGACTACATCGAGAGGTCAGCACCTCGATGGAAGACGGCTTTAACGAACAAAGGTGAAAGCTTGCTGGTCTCGTGCTCCCCGGAAGTAGGGAAAGGGTCTTCACGTACCGTACTTGTCGTAGCCGAGTTTGAGCATGACCTTGTGCAGCGTCTCTGCATACTGCGGGATGCCGAATCCCCTCTTGATCACGCCGTCCGAGAAGCCAAAGTTGGGCAGCGACGGAGCAACAACGTGAAAGGACGGCCCCTGATCAGCTTCCGTGAGAAGAGGCAGTATTTTATTAACCTCGACAAAGCTACCCGGCCCTACAGCCAAGCAGACGTCAGCCAAGCCCAGTCCCGTTCACCGTTTCAGCGGACGCTTACATCCGTGGCAGAAGAGCAGCGGAATACTGCCCGGCTGGCTGCTCCGCTTGTGCACAAGGTAAATGTTGAGCTCGCCGAAGCCTTCCACCGCGACCCTCGTCTGGAACTGCGGCAGCTCGTTCAGCTTGGCCTCGTGGGCGCGCCAGTCGAACCCCTGGCGCCAGTACGCCGCCAACCGCTTCACATCGGCCAGAGGGGCGCCGTAGTTCCAGTCGTCGGAGAAGTCGACCTCGTCGGCAAACGTTGACGCCGCAAGCTTTTCCTTTAAGCGCTGGATTGCCGAGTCGGGCACCTCGATGCGAAACGGCTCAACCTGGGAGGACATTGTCGACTCTTTGTTCGCCCCCCTTGCTGGAGGACAAGCTTCGAGGAGAAAAGGCAGTCCGTCGTGATGCTATCCAAGCAGTCGAGGATGCAGTGGCAAGAGTTGATCGTGGACGCTCGCGGCGATGCCATCATCCAAGCGGCTGATGACGCACAGCCATCTGCAGCCGGGATAGCCGGAGCAGACCCCGCACGCTGCACGGATTGTTGGCTGACGAGCCGGCTCTGGCGGCCATGATGCAGAGTTGCACAAGTGCTGCAGAAGCTCAGCATTACGTGGGGGATGTGCCGGTATCCAAGACTCCTTTATTCGTACTGCCAATAGGACAAGGCCTGCTCTATTTGTAGTCTCTGTTGATTCCGAATATTCTATCAAAATGTCGTTGAAGGGAGTAGCAAAGTCGAACATCCGCCTCTCGACCCGCCGGTATAAGCTCCCATCACCCAATTATATCGCTGCCTCATCGGCCGCCATCAGCGCCTCCTGCTGGACCTGTCGCTTCGAGAGCTTGGGGTTCCTCAGAGCCAATGCGAAACCAATCATGGGTACGCACAAGACCAGACCGGCGAGGCAGAGCAGCCATTGGACGTGTCGGTAGCTGGCGATGACGGCCTCCCGAATCTCGGTGCCGACGGGGTAGCGCTCGAGGACCGGGAAGGGTGAATCGTAGATTGCCCTGGCCAGCGTGGCATTGGGCTGGAAAGCGAGGTTGGAGTGCAGGGCGGGCAGCAGCGTTTGTGTCCAGATTGCGCCGGCCAGACAGGTGCCGAACGCGCTGCCGACGTTGTAAAAGGACAAGTACAGCCCGGTGAGGATGGCGACGTGATCGCGAGTGGCCGATGCTTGGATCGAGGCCTGGGTCGGATAGGCGAAAAAGCCACTGGCCAGGCCCAGAAGCACCTGCCCGCCGATGATGCCTGCCTTGGAGTGCAGGGAGGCGCCGCCAGGAAAGTTGCAGAGGACGGCAAAGCCGCCCATGAAGAGGCATGTTCCCAAGACGATGATGAACTTGAGGCGTCGCAGCCGATAAACGACCATGCCGATGACGACGCCGCTGACGACGCCGAAGAAGGAGAAGAGCGAGAGAGTCCGAGTGGCCGACTCGATAGAGAAGTCAAAGGCCACGACGAGGACCGTATAGAGGTAGGTCCCTTGAACAGCCCAGGCAAAGTTGAGAAAGCTCCTCACGGCCAGAGCTGACCACACGCCGCGGTCGCTCAGCAGGCCAAAGGGTACGAGGGGAGTCGCCGCACCCCGTCTCTCCCACAGCACGAAGAGGGGCACGATGGCGAGGCCGGCAACGAGGGGGGCGACGATGCGGGGATCGCGCCAGTGGGCAGCGGTGCCGCCGACGATGGTCAGGGGCGCAAGGATAAGGGCCAAGGCGCCGACGAGGCCGACGAGGCCGACGACGTCGAGTTGGCGGAAGAGGTTGCCCCTGGACTCGGCGAGGCCGAGGAAGTGGGCCGTGTCGCGGAAGCCCTTGGGGACACCGCCATCGAGCACGCGCTCGCGGCGGCCGTCGAGGGTGTAGAGGGCGATCAGGAGAGGCAGGGAGGCGACGGGGTAGATGATGCACCACATGCCGATGCCCCAGCGCCAGGTGGTGACGGACAGGACCGCCTTGGTGATGGTGCCACTGACCCAGGTGTTGATGACAAAGGGCAGGGCAGGGACGTAGCTGAAGAAGACGCGGGCGCGCATCGACGAGAAGTCGGCAACGAGGACCTCGAGGAGGAGGACGATGGAGGTGTAGCCGATCTGGTAGACGGCGGCGCCGGCGCAAAAGGCGTAGACGGAAGAGGCGGTGGACTCGATGGCCATGCCGACGACGTAGCAGAGGGTGGAGACGGCGACGACCTCGAAGCGGCCGAAGACGTCTGCGATCTTGGCGGCTGTCGGCTGGACGGCGATGGCAATGACGCTGCGGAGGAGGTTGATGGTGGAGAGGTATGAGTGAAGCGAGAAGCTCGAGGTGGCGTAGGGCTGGTAGGTGGAGCGGACTTGGCTCTCGAGACCGTAGGCGTAGCCGACGAGGAAGATGCCGAAAAAGAGCCAGACGCGATCGCGCGTCGTCAGCTGCGACGACATGGCGTCCATGCGAGCGACGCCAGGGGCACGGGAGGGCGGCGCATGGCGGGGGGACGGCGATGACAGCGACGAGCTGAAGGACGAGGACGAGGACGAGGACAAGGACGAGGGCGTCGACGATGCGGACGAGGGCCCGGGCGGGTGCTGCTGGTCACAGGCCAAGGCAAGGGGTGACGGCGGCCCGGGAGGCCGCTGCTGGTGCTGGGGCCGGCGGCCAAGGAGCGGCGCCGCCTCTGTCGCCTCGCGGTCCGTTGGAGACATGGCGGACGAGGACGGATCAGACGGCCGAGTGTCGTCGTCGAGGCCGAGGGGATCGGACGTCAAAGTATCTCCGGTGGTTGCGATTGAAGCACCACGTCATCTCGGGCTCCTGGACCCCGTCTCCCCAATGCCGCCTTTGATGCTGGTTTCTTCCCTGGTCCCGCTCGGCGGCGAAAGGCCAACAGATGGGCAGCAGTGACTCGGTGAGTCTGGGGACCAAGGCAGACGGTTCCACAGCAGGCCCCGGATGCACGATCAGATAAGATGGCGAGATTAAGCGAGAGAGGTCGACGATGGGATGGCGGGGTCGGGCTTGTGGAGGAGGGCGGGGCGGGCCAAGGAATGCCTGGAACGGGAAGGTTTAGCCGCAAACCTGCGGGTGCCTTTCTCCGTTTGGCTTGCAGAGAAAGGCACGCGCAGCTCCAGGGCGTGCCTGCCCCTTTTAACATACGACTCATACAAACGTCGGGCTGCTCCAGGCAGCACGCGACCACGCTCGGAAAAGGAAGGAAGCAAGGCGTCGAAAGGGGCGAGGCAGGGGCGAGGCGGTGCCTGGCCATTATATCACGCACTGCGTTCCCCCCCTCTCATCCATCCATTAACTTGATGCCTGCTGCATGCAGGCGCCTCCTGCAGGGCGCGCGCCCGAAATAACTGGTGGTTGCGTGCAGCTTCCTTTCTTTTTCGTCCTCTCTTCGCCTTGCAACAGTCGCCAGGCACCGAAACGGTGGTGAGACGAGTGTAGCCAGTTATGACAAGAAAAGAAAGCGCACAAGAGGGGCGCTCTCTTCCTCTTCCCCTTCCCCCCCCCCCCTTCTCTCTCTCTAAAATTCATGCACAATGCCTCCCCCCCCCTTTCGGCCCAGTGACCGACTGATGACTCTGTGAATCATTCGGCGTGGGCTAGTGGGCCTCCACTCCAAGTCACAGGCTCACTGGCCAGCCGACACCCCTACAGCGAGACAGCGAATGAGCAGCAGGGCTTCCTCGACGGCTGACGCGGTCCTCACATCGTCTGTCTGATAAAGCAACGAGGCAGGGCGAATGAGGAAGTAGACCCCAAGAGGTTGATTTGCAGCATCGAGAGGCTGCTGCACCTTGATGCCGCCCGCCTTCATCTCGCACTTACACAGGGCGTAGCTCATCTTGAGCCCTTGGGCCAGTCAGTTCGCTAGGTTGGGCAGTAATTAACTCGTTGGCACCGCAACAGTCAGCCGTCTGCATTGGCTGCCTCTCCCGGGGGGCTTGTTGTGCCAGATCGCGCAGATACGGCAAAGCGAAGCTCTGCTAGTAGTCTCTTGCATCATCCACCCATCAGGCAAGCAGCCATCACCACCCTGCGTCGAGACTCACCTCGTTGGTCGAGCCAACCCCGGGCCACGGCCCGCTTGCCTGGTCCTTGCGTTATTTTCTCCAGCTACCAACAAGGCATGGAGCCCCTGCCCTGTCGCCGGCCGAGCGGGTCCGATCCCCGGAGCTCCGCTACGGCCGAGCATCCAAGGTCGTCGGCCCCGGCAGTCGGCGGCAGCGCAAATCGGGCCAGAGCATAACCAACTTCATCAACTTCTGGTATTCGTACACCATCAAAATACATGCAGACATGAACTTTGTGAGCTGTCCTCATAAGCACCTTTTCGGCCGATTAGGGACTTGCGGTCGGGACCGATAATGCTGTTGGTGACTGTCCTGCAGTGGCCGCCGCCCCCAATTTGCCACCACACTCCCTCGTCTAGTAACTCCATTTTACTCTCCAACGCCGTGAAAACGCAGCTAAACAGCCCATTGGCCACCTTCACCTCCTTGGCCGAAAACAATGTCCCGCCTCATGAAGAACAGCCCTCACACGCCCGCGGGCACAAGTCGCTCGTCCCACGACATTTGCTGTTCTCGTGCATCGCTTCCCGCGCCACCCGCCGTCTTGCGCCAGACGAGCTGTAGGAATGACACGGCATCGAGCGGGCTTGGGTCCCCGAGGTAAAAGCAGAGCTGACGCAGAGCGTGGCAGATGAACCCTCGGTCCCTGGCGCTTGCACCAGCCTCCATCCCCGCCATGAAGAGCGGCCAGAATGAAAACTTGCCACACCATGCGGCACCTCGAGCCCTGTCCTCCTCGCGAGCCCAGAGCCGATGTAGTGCATCCATAAGCCGCGCCAGTGCCCAGTCCCGCGCCGACTCCGCGTCCATGACCAAGCCCTCGCGGATGACGGCGGTGGCTTGGGACGCCATGGGTCCTGGCCCACCACGCCGGCGTCGTCGCTTTCGATCAACGTGCAATGTGCGGATGCAGTAGAGCATCACTGCGTACTGAAACGCCTTGGCCAAGTCTTGGCACATCTCGTGAACCACCTCGCGAGCCCCAGCCAGTTCCGTCCCGACCGCCTCGCCTTTATCTGCCCGCAGCCTCTCTTCAGGGACTGGCTCCTTTGTGGTTTCCGGCTCAGACGACGAATCCGCAAGAGCTGGCGAGAAAGGCTTTTGCAGGTGGTTCCGGGTCCAGGTCGCTGCGTCAAACGACGCAATGCTCGTCAGCAGCCGGCTAGACATGGCGTCTAGCTCTACGACACCCGGTGTAGACTCGCCGCCCAGCGCACGGGCCAGATTGATACGAATGATGGCCTCGAGCAGCTGTTGGGAAACGGAAAATCCAAGTCTTTGCCGTCGCTGTAGATGGCGCCCAACTGCGGTATGTAGTCAACCTGCGAAACGGTTTCGGGTTCCATCAGCTGCGTCGGCATCAGGACCGACTGCATAATGTCCACGCTGCGTGCTTCACTTAGCACTTTCTTCAATAACCTTCAAGGGAACCAAAGGAGACAGGCGCGAGTTTCCCGAGCCCCGGTTACAACTCACAGCATGAAATTGGCCAAGGTATGCGAGCTGACCTTGGTCGCGAGCCGGCCAAAGCCACTGCGACGGGCAATAACAGTTCGGGCTGCGGCGAGGTGGGCATTCCAGGCGCCGAATGCCGACTGCTGAATCTATCCGAGTGGCTTGTGTAAATAGGCAGTGGTCAAACCGACCCCTGGACTGGCCAAGACAGAGCTTTGGTCCCTTCTTACCTCGACTCGCATGAGTACAGCGATAGCACTCAGCACCGGGCCCTCATAGCGTGTGCTGGGGTCGTCCAGCTGTTTCTGGAGGGCCCTGAGTGTCCGCCGGTGATACTCATAGACGATGGGCATCGAAGGGCTCCGCAACAGACTCATGTGGTGTCTGTGGATGCCGAGAGCCCCGCCGTTGAGCTCTGACCTGGACGCCAGTCCCGGTTGCTGGGCATAGCATCTGATGGCCTGGTGCGTCAAGCTCGTGGAAACAATAATGCCCATAATGAGCTCGGGAATGCATCGCCAGTTTTCGAGGGCAACCCTGTGTGGATTCGTGGCCGAGTCGAGGAGAACCAAATCAGGGCACATATAGCTGTTGTCTGCTCCCGCCACCATTCGAAGGCACACGCAGGTCAGCGTTGAATCCTTTCAGCCACCTCGGGGTCCTTTGACGCACAGTAGCGAAGAGAGTGGAGGGCCCGCCGGTGATTCTGGTAATCAACGGGATCCAGGCCTGCAGAAGGGTCGGGCTTGGGTCTCTGCCTCTGCAGATGACACCGCAGCCGAAGCTCGTAGCAGCGTGCAATGCTCTTGTCGGCTCGTTCGTCGGCCTTGCCGTGCTGCGGCATGAGGACCAGCTTCGGCCGCCCCCGTTTCTTGCGCTGTGCGCCCCCTTTGGCCGGTCTCGCCGCACGCTCCTGGTGCTGTTCGGGTCTCGCGGCGATCTCGGCAGGCGGCAGGCCGAAAGATTGCTGAAGGACCCAGCGAACCGGCCGGCCGCCATAGCCCAGGCATTCCACGCCCCGGGCAGCGCACTTGCTGCAGCCAGGCTCGCCCCCGTCACAACGCAGTCGTTTGAGGCGGCAAGTGTGACACTGAGCGCAGCGGGGCCGCGATGCCTTGCTCGCCTCGGCCAAGGTGTGGCTGGAGTGGCCGGTGCTCGGTGCGATGATCGACGAAGCGCTCATCTTGGGTTTTGGGCGGTGAAGTCCTGCTGTCGCCCGCTCTATGGGGGGTGTAAGTGGCGAGATGAGTCTAGATGTAAGAAACGCTCTTGGTCATGTTACCCGGGTCGCTCTGTGCCCGTTTTCTAGGCTGCCATTTCCAGAGTAGTGGACGTCTGGGACAACCCTGGGGCAGTGCTGGCTCGGGGCTGTGCCACCGAAGCGCACAGTGAGGCGGTCTGACGCGACATCGTAAGCCGCGGCTGAGCTGAGAAACCTATCCATCGGGGTCGCGCAACGCCAGTCTCCGACTTTGGATGCTTGCGCCCCGTTTCCAGCGGTCTCGAGGATTCATCGGTGACACAGGCAAGCTGCTATCATTTGGTGGTCCGCGCAAGTCGACGTTTGGATTTGGCAATGCCAAACTTCTCGAGTCCCGCACGTACATTACCAGCTGTTCAGTACTTCGCGTGCTTGTCACCAGGACATGACTGAAAATCAGCTTACGAAACCCTGTACATACTCGGTAGGCAGCCGTTGGAGGAGGCTTGGCTTTCCACCAAGTGCTCGTCGCGCCGGCACTTGCTGTGCCAAGGATGTCAAAGCCGATGCCGTTAAGCCTGATAGCCCAGGCACCTCGGCCGGGTGGTGCGCAGGCCGGCCTTTCTCGTAGACGACATTGGCTAATACACGCCCGAATCCCGCGTGGCTGTTGGTGGCGATGCTGACGGCGGAGCTAGGCTGCACCCAGGCTGTCGTTGCCGAGTCGGGAGTCGCCAAAGAAAATACTGCTTCAAAGTCCCGTGTGAGCTCTCGGCTGACACGATGGGGGGGTGGATGACGTATACCTCCTCGGTAGTTTCCACAGGAGATGCCCGTCAACGACTGACACAAGCCAGCGGCTACGGGAGCCTCAAAGGCGACGACAGGCCCGAGAGAGATGCGTCATGCCAGCCGAGGCATGATGAAAGGCCTCTGGTTGACGACGAGCCTGGGCGTGTGTCAGTCCATTTCCTCACACGTGGGGTATGCAGGGGCGTAAACTGTACAGCAGGTTGTGAGTGCGACTGGGCGGGTGCGGACCTCGGTCGCAAGACAAGGTTCGTGGGCCGACAGGGCGCGAGAAACTGAGGCCATCGCCGTGAAGATGGCCATCTCGCGACTATCTGGTGTACTTGTGCGACCCGGATCAACTATCCGCCTCGAGTACCGTTGATGCGCCTCGGCCTGTGAAGGGTACACGTAGTGATAAGGCTCGCCGATCACCACGATAACCGCCCTGGAGACAACTCACGACGTGACGGCGGGTCCCTGCCTTTGCTCTGTGCGCCAGAAGGGTCACTTGACCCGGTCACGAATACAGCCCCATTCCCACCTCAACTCAAATCTAGAGTCACCCTCGCGAGCCTCCGTCCTTGTCATGCCCGACCATTCAGCCGACGAGCCTCGTCCGCCTGGACGCCTCGAGCCCTGCCTGCAGCAGATGCAGGTGCTGTCCTCCCCCGCCGCCCGCGTCACTGGCAACCCGCATGGGCGTTAGAAGGAGCCGGTGTGATCGTCCATCCGCCTCTCTCTGCCTTGGGCTGCCGGCTCCAAAAGAAGAAAAACCTGTACGGCTCCATGTGCGGTCGATGGGCTGACGCGCCAATCCTACCCAATGCCGCCCACCTCCTCATCTTCCCCGACGATCCTTCAACATCGCATCCTCATGTCGGCCAACGTCCTTCGCAGCGCTGCCCCTCTTTAACAGCATCGGTGCCTGCACGTTGGTTGTATGAGGAAGCCTTCATCAACTCCGAACCTCGTCTCACTAGGCGCCGGCAGATAGGGCGTCTGCATAACTAGTTGCATTGCCAGGATTCATCTATTGCTGCTCGCCGCCAGAAGAACAGACTCACGATACCCTTTTCACCCACTACAGATCACTACTGCCTCGACTGCCAACTTCTGTCTTTTCTCGTACTGTCTGGCTCTGCTTTGATCTTCGAGCTCGTTCGACAATGGTGGCCTCCAAGCCGGAGCCGCCCGACGTCGAGCGGCGGTTCGCCGACATTCTTGCAGATGCCGCCAAGCTCTACAGGGACAAGTCGAGCGAGGCTCTCGGCGACTTCATGACGCCGCCCATGGAGTCCGTCGATGACCTCAAGAAGCAGTTGAGCATCCAAAATGACGGCTTCTCCGCCTTCCGCGCCAAGCGCCAATCCGTCTTTGATGCCGTCGCTACGGCCCTCAGGCCCGTCGAACTCGTTGGAGAGATTGCGGCTGGGGCCGCTTCGACCGCCTATCCTCCCGCACAGAGCATCTATGCTGCCGCCCTCTTCCTCGTAAACGCCGCCCACAATGTGTCGGCCACATATGACTCCGTCATCGAGTTGTTCGACCAACTAAAGGTAGGCCACGCTTGGGCTGCCCACATCTGATCCTAGAGCTCGCTGTTGACCACTGATACCTAGGAATTCACGTCGCGGCTCGACGTATACGTGCGACACCGCATCTCGGCTTCGCTGCGCGCCCAGATCGTCGCCATTCTAGCCTCCCTGTTCGAGATTTTGGTCTTGGCCACCAAGGAGATCCGTCGCGGGCGCTTCAGAGCGTATCTCAAGCGACTCATCGGCTCCGAGAGCCCCGTGCAGCCGGCGCTCGATAAACTCAAGGCTTTAACCCTAGGCGAGGAGAGACAGGTCCTGGCAGATACCTTTGGCAATATCTCGGAGCTCAGCACCAAGGCTGGTCTGATCGAGCATGCCGTTACTCAAGTCAACCAGGGCGTCCAGAGCCTGCGGGTGGAACACCGCGAGTTTTCCGGCCTCCCCAACAGAGACAAGCTTCGCGACATTCTTGGCCCCTCGCCCTTTCCCGAGGATATATACAATGCCTTCAAGAAGTCGACTATCCCGCAGACCGGCGACTGGATCCTCGAGGATGAGGGCTTGAATGCCTGGCTGCGAGGTGAGGTTCCGTACCTGTGGATATTCGGCAATGCAGGTAAGTCTGGCATTTCTACGACAAGAGGACTACGAAACTGGACGAATACAATCAGGCTAACTGATGAATGCTAGGCACTGGAAAGTCGTACTTGACGGCCAGGATCATCTCGTGGGCGCTGGACAACGCGGCCAGCGTTCCCTTTGTCGGCTACTTCTTCTTCCGCGAAAACAACTCTGAAACCAGATCCGTGTTGCAAGCGCTTCGCGATGTTGCTCATCAACTGAGCGAAAAGGACGCAGTCTACCGCAAGGATCTCATGGCGCGGCTCGAGAGCAGGGACGAAATCAAGACGGTGGCAAGCGCCTTCAGGGAGCTGATTTATCTCGCCTCCCCTGCCGCTGGCGATCAGGCCGGACGCACCAAGTACATCTTTCTCGACGGGTTAGACGAGGCCAACGGCGACGAAGTCTCTGAACTCCTCGCCAGCCTCATTCCGGACGAAACCGCGCCGCAACCGACGTGGGCGCCGCACTTTCAGTTTGCTCTTGTGGGCAGATCGTACCTTTCCGACAAAATCACCGGCCGGCTCGACCCCAATTCGCCTGGTCAGAACTTGGCCAGCGTGCAGGTCACGTCGGATCGCAACGCCAGCGACGTAAACGCCTTTATCGCGAGCAGCGTGCTCCACTCAAGGGTGCTCAGTCGCACCAGCGTCGACTTCAAGAAAAATGTCATCAAGGCCCTGGAGAAGCAGGCGGACGGCCTGTTTTTAGTCGCCAGATTCATGGTCGCGGACGTCAATCGCAAGCGCCACCAGAGCTCGATCCTGGAGAGCCTCCGCACGTACCCCAAGGAGATTGACGGCGTCTTGTCGCGGACGCTTGTCAATCTCTCCAGGACGATATCGGAAGAGGACGCGCGCGATCTCAATGAGATGCTCCGCTGGGTGTCTTGCGCCGAGGAGCCTCTGACCCTAGGCCAGCTCGAGGGGTTTCTGGCCCTGCGGTTCGGCGACGCGCCCCTGTTCCTCGAGGAGTCTCTGCGTCGGCAATACTCGTGCTTCTTTGATCTCGAGCGTGAGGACGGCCTGACCACTGACGATCTGGTCAAGGACTTTGAGAGAGCTCAGCGCGATTTGAGACGAGACTTGAGCCCGGCGAGGCGTCTCACCACTCAACACATAAGGAGCCTCAGCGCTGGTGAGGCGTCTGCCCCCCCGCGTCGCATAAGCCCTGCTGGACGTGGCAGCCCAAGCCGACACTCGAGCCCCATTGCGGGACAGTGGAGCCCAACTCGACAGCTGAGTCCGACTCCAGGCTCGGACGTCTTTGACACTGCGAGCGACACCGAGTTTCGATCAAACAGGTCGACCACGCGCGTCACATTCTTCCACGCTACGGTCAGAGATTTCTTCCGAAACCGTCGTCCCGCCATGACTGGCGGATCCGACGCTGACAGTTTGACGGTTGGGTTCGACATTCAAGACGCCCGCGTCCACATTCTGAAGACTTGCCTCAGAGTCTTTATCGAGAAGGAGTGGTTCCTGCGCCTTGATATTGGGCCCGGAAAAGAAGCAATGAAGCAGTATGCGGCGTGGTATTGGCAAGAACACGTCGCCGGCCTCGACCTCGCAGCCGTGTCCCGGCACGACAAGCGCGAGTTGGGCGTCAAGTTGTACCAGATGCTCACAGACGAGAGCACCGTGTTCGACTGGAGCATCATGTACGCCAAGAACGACGAGGGCCTGGAAGTGCTCACCGACAGCAACATCGGGGGCCTCAGAAGGTGGTTTCAAGACGCCGATGTCCTCGACGGCCTCAGTCCCGAGGCCCGGGCGTTTGCCAAAGCCTCGTCAGCCCAAGCCTCGGGCGTCTGTGAGCGAATCGGCAGATTGTACGCCAAAGCCTGGCTATCGAGCGACTTTGAACAGTACGCGCCGACTCTGTTTTGCTTCAAGATTGTCCAAAACGTCGCCTTCGTGGACGCTGGATATGACTGGTCACACGCCAACCTTCACTGGCCGGACATTACAGTCGAGGAGCGAATGGAAAAGGCGACTCGCTGGGCGGAACAGCCGGAGACAGCGCAATGGCACCGTCGCGTGGGGAGCACGTACCTGACGTTGAAGATGCACAACCAAGCCCTTCGGCATTACGACGCGGCCCTTAAGATGGACCAGAACAGCGTCGAGACCTGCAGTCGCATAGCCTACTGCCTGTACAAAGACGGGCGCTATCACGATGCGCTGGAACAGGCCCTCGAGTGCGCAGCCATTGAGGAGCGCGACATTCGCAAGGGCGGATTGCAGGAATCGGCGCTGAAGAACATCAAGTGGCGGCTCTACAGAGACTACCTCCTCATCGGGCAGAGCTCGTACCAGACTGGCGACGTGGATCTCACGCACGAGTACTTCCGCAAGGCCATTGGGAGCGCCGCCGACGCGGACCTCGGCCCATCCGAGTCCCTGGAGCCAGAGACAGGCTACCTCGAAGTTCTGGCCGCCGAGAACCTCCACGAACAGGTCGTTGAACTTGCCAAGGACATGTCCGTTCAAACCACCCGAAGTGAGCACGGACAGAGCCGGTTCGTCGACTTGCTGCTGGAACGGCACAACACGCTGCTGGTGCTGGACTGGATTCCCAAGGCGGCGAGCAAGACGGGCCAGTTGGAGTTTTTGCTAGAGCGCCTCGAGCAGGCTATTGGAATTGCGGACGACACGAGCGATTCGTTGAGGTTCCTGTACCTGAGGCTTGCGCTTGGGACCGCCTACGCATACAACCGAGACATCGACGACGCCATCTTCGTCTTTGAGCAGATTTCGCTCCTAGAGTCTCGCCCGCGCGGAACCATTACCACGCGACAGGCGCACGCCGCGTCTTTTCAGAAGCTGGCGGCGCTGTATAAGCAAAAGGCCATGCACGCCGGGCTCAAGTCTGCCGACGCCGAATCCTGGATCAGCAAGCTCGAGGCGGTGCAGAAGAAGCAGGATGAGCACCACAACTTGGACATGCCGGCCGACATGCTTGGGTCCGACGTCAACGTGGCATCCATCTACCTCTCGTGCTTTTATCGTCTGCTGGGCAGGGAGGCGGAGGCGAGGGCGCTGCTGAAGGGCCTCATCCACGACAGCCTGTCCATTCTCTCGGATAGCGAGCCACTGAATGACGTGTTTGCGCTGGACAACCTGCTGCGCATCTTCATCGCCGCCAGCGACGTACCCAATGCCCAAGCCCTGGCGCGGTCGATGCGCAAGGTCAACCCCGAGGCCTCCCTCAGCACGCAAAGCGAGTCACCCGTGGAGCGGCGCGGGGCTCCCAAGCTGCCTGGCATCCAGGAATACGACCGGAGCTGCTTCCAGTGCTTCAACAACGTGTCTGCGTCCAAGGAATTTGTCGTGTGCCGGTTCTGCATGGAGTGCTACTGCACCGACTGCCTCAAAAGGGTGATTCGGCGGCCGGGCAACAGCACCAAGGACCGCAACAGCAAGGTCGTCTGCCGAAGCGACCATGAGTGGTTCATCGTAGAGCCGCTGAATCGGGTGTTGCACACGGGGGAGATTCAACTCGAGGACGACTGCGTGCAAAGTTTTGCGGAATGGAAGGACATGGTGCGCAAGGCCTGGGCGCTGGACATTGAATTTAACGGACCTGCGCTGGTCAAGGCGAGCGGAGGGCGAGGACGCAAGATCGAGCCGCCCGCCAGTCGGTGAGAGGACGTGAAACAAGTATAACTTGTGGTATGGGTACGGTGGGTTGGTCTACACATAAAATTTGTGAATTACCGTTTGTTGATTCAGCGATTTCGCGACAAAAAGCGATGTGAGAAAAAAAATTTGCCGTGGCTGTTGGCTATCAAAAAGTCGGCCGGGTGGCGGTTGGTCTCTCCCGCCGGGAATTGAACCCGGGTCTCAAGCGTGACAAGCTTGCATACTGACCACTATACTACGGAAGATGAATGGCTTTCAAAGCCATCGTAGTGTGGGGGTGATGATGAGTGATCCGCTATTGATGACTATAAAGAGCAGACTCGTGGACACCAGCCCTGGAGAACCCAGACCCGACTGACGGACCACATTGATCGACCCATACATAGTATGTTGTGCATGAATGACTGGGTGCTAAGACAGGGTGTGTCGCTCCGCTAACAAAGCTGTTGGCATCCGAAAAAGGTCGCTTGACAAACAAGCGGAGCCGTCTCCTGACGCCCGACAAGTCGTCAGCATTCTGCCCTGTTGACTGGGGCTGGGAATAGTTCCTGTTCTGATACGGTCCAGTTCGCTTGGGCTCGGTTGTCGTCCATGTTTGAGAAGAGTATGAAACTATGAACAAGCCGATTTGAATAACGCCGAGACTCGAGGCCTGCTTCATACGGAGCCGCCAGCTGTGGCTTCGACCAGACGCCCCTTTCACAATAAATACCAGCATGAGCAGGGAACATCTCCTTGAACTAACACGGGACACGAGCTCTAATTGCGTGCGGCCACCTTTCTGGTTTCTCTTTTTTCTTCATTCCTTGACTCTTGTTCATTTTTGTGCCTGGCGCGTACAGAGCAGCCAGCTCTGCGCACAACGCCCCTTTTCGAAGCGAGACAAGCCACGTCCCTTCCCTCTCGCAAACCCATCCTTCTACGCGAGACCGAATGCATCCTTAGGCGGGAAAGGGGTCTTGACGGTCGTCATGGAACATCGAAAGCCATCAAGATCACAGCCTGGACTGGCCCTGCAGCTGGCGACGCTGCATCTCCCTCAGCTCGTTCCTCAAGATCTTGCCAGCAGGGCTGCGTGGCACGGCATCGACCAGGACCACGCCGCCTCGAAGCTGCTTGTAGGCCGCCACCTTGGACTTGACGTAGGCGACGAGGTCCGCCTCGGACGTCTTGCCCCGGACGGCGGGGGCGAGAACGACGTAGGCGCGTGGCACCTCCTCACTCCCCTGCATCAAGCCTATCACGGCGGCGTCGGCGACGGATGGGTGGGCCATTAGTACGCCCTCAAGCTCAGCGGGTGCTACTTGGAGGCCTTTGTACTTGATGAGTTCCTGGACGAGCAATTCTGTCAGCGGACTCGTTGTTCCAGGCGCGAGGGTGGAATCATTCGACCAAGGGGTTTCCTAAAAAGGGGCTTACCTTTTTCCTATCGACGAGGTAGAGCAAGCCCTTTTCTACGCGGAGCACATCGCCGGTTCTGAACCAGCCGTCCGCCAGAAAGGCTGTTTTGTTGGCCTCTGGCCTATTGTGGTACCCTTTGGTCACCACGGGGCCCTTGACGAGCGCCTCGCCCGGCTGTCCGGAGGGCACGTCTTTGTCGTCATCGTCTACGATGCTTGATGGCGCCAGGGAGGATTAGCGGCCGTCAACAGCATGCCAAGGCGTGGTGGGCAAGACTCACCGCAGCGTCATGTTGGGCAGCAACGGGCTCAGGCTTCCGATGGTGTCAGTCCGCCCGAGAGGCGTGTACGTGATGGCGCCAGTCGTCTCGGTCATGCCATAAACTTGGCCGACGATGTAGCCGGGGGCAATCTTGTCGCTGGCGGCCTGCTGAATCTCGCGGCTGAGGGGGGCGGCGCCGCCGGCTGCTTGGCGGATGCAGGCAAACTGGTCCGTGATGGCCGGGTGCTTGGCAATGGCGGCGTAGATGGGGGGCACGGAGAAGAGCGAGGTGATGCCGAGCTCGGGCACGTAGCGGATGAAATCATCGAGCTTGAAGGTCGGCATCCAGTAGACAATGCCGCCCTCGAACATGGGCGTGATGAAGTAGCCCTGCACGCCTGCGATGTGCGCCGTGGGCAGGTGGGCGAGGGTGCGCCGGGCGAAGCCTTTTCCCTCTCGGCATAGCTTGTCGTAGATGGGGCGGTTGACCGAGGCGGGGATGAAGGCTTCCGAGACAATGTTGGCGTGCGAGATGAGGACGCCTTTACGTCCCGCGTTCCGTCAGTTCAGGGAATAAATAGCAAGGAATAGCATAACGGGTGGGCGAGAAAGCAGATCAAGGAAAGAATATCCTGGGCGCTCAGACCTTTAGGCAGGCCCGTCGTGCCGGACGAGTACAAGATGCAGATGGTGCGGTCCTCCAGCTCCCGGGGATCGGTAATGGCGGTCCACGGCAGCGAGCCCCGAAAGTCGCACCGAACGGCGCCGTCGGCGCTCTGGAGGGCGACACGGGGATAGGACTCGAGGACGAGGACGTTGCGCTCGGGCAGGCCGACCTCGGCGGCGGCGGCGAGGGCGATGGCCTTTCGGTCGGCGCTGCAGACGAGGACGCGGCCGGGACCGTCCCGCATCTGGCGAGCAATGTCTTCCGGGGTGCTGCTGGGCGAGGCGGCCGAGTAGATGCCCTCGGCGGCGATGACGCCGAAGAATAGGCAGGCGAGGGCCGACTGGCCGGTGGAGACGACTACGACGACGTCGTCGTCCTGTTCGCCGCCGATGCCGTACGAGTGGCGGAAGAAGTAGGCGAACTGCCGGGTCAGGTCTCGGGCCCGGGCCTTGGTGATGACTTGCAGGGGGTCGTGAGCCTCGGCATGGAGGGCGGTGTGCTCGCCAGAGTTGCTGTGTTCCGAGTCTTGAGAGCCTAGGTGTAAGCCGATGCATTGAGCGTAAACCAGCGCGAGCAGTGGGCACCTGAGAGACGATGGCAAGGGCGTGGGCGAGAAAGGGGGGGTGGCGGTCCACGATGAAACTCAGACGTGAGACGACAAGCACTCACCAAAGAGAAGGGTCAAGAGGTCCACGTTAGGGACCGTAAGCTGGTTTTCAGTCCCGTAAATCATAGCCGCCACCGGTGCTAGATGTCGTGAGTGGAGGGACCACGGCAAGGAGAGGGAGGCCTGAGAGGGTGAGAAGGGGAGAGCGAGGCGATTGTCGGCGTTGCCGTGATGTTGGTATGCTCTCGGCGCGAACAGGAAGTACAAGACGTTGGGTTGTAAGTCGGTGCGTCATGGGCCTCGGGATATCCTCTGGATTTTATCATGTACACGGGTCGAGGGGAGAATGAAAAGAGGGAAGGGCGGAGGGTAAGCATGGGTGTCAAGCAGCAACTCAGAGCAGTCGGAGCAGCAAGTTAAGATGAGGCTCCAGCCAGGGAAAAGTGCCCTGCATAAACGACGAGGGCGTGCCTCGGCTCCTTTGTTTCGGCGGCGCCTCACTCAGCAACGGCCGACGGCTGCGAAGCGGGACGGGACGGGACCTCAGCGCCACCCGTGCGTACAGCACAGTCGGTATGTGCGCAGGGTTGTATCGTACTGTACGGCCGCTGCAGCGCCGATGTGCAGACCTGTTCAGCATTCGTCGACGGCCGTGCTGGTCAACGAGAAGTGTCAAAGAAACCCCGCCCTACCCGCCTCTTACGCAGCCAATAACATCCGGCCGGCGAGGGCCATGACGAGGTTGCGGCTGCTGGCCTCGGCTCGTGCGGCGGGGGTCCGCGGCAAGCTTGGACGGCTCGCCAGTAGTCTGGTTGGGCTTTGGCTCTGGCGGCTGTCATGCCCCTCCTCGCGCGGCGGATTCGGGACATGTGTGTTAGCGTTGCCCCTTGGCTGTTTGGTTCTTGGGGGGCAGAGGTTGGCTGGCTGTCTTGATCAGGATAGAAGACGACCAATGGTTTCGTTGATGTAGACTGGACTGCAAGGACCAACTTGCCGCCTACCACGACACGGATAATTTCCACAGCCACCCTGTATTCACGACGGAAGTTGTAATGTCCCGTCATAATAATCTTGTCTAACCCGAACCACCTCGGCTAGCTCCCGCTGTGACGTGCGTTGGCGAGACGGGGTTGGTTCGGGACCGAACGGGACGGACCGGACCCGGATCCGTGTTGGCCGGAGAGACGAACTCCTGTCCGAAGCTGCCGGCGCCGAGATTCCTCAACGGCCTCGTCGACTCCGAAGAGCGTTTGCATGGTCGAGCATGTTTAAACTTTCGCGCGAATACGTATAAGAGTGCAGTCGTGTGACTGTTCATGGTTTTTGCCGCCTTGCAGTGGACAAGCAGGGCGAGACCCAACAGCTCGCGAGTCCGCCCATCTTATAACGTCGGGATCCCTGTCGTGTCCCCAGACTCAACCGAGCCAACCTCAGGCCAGCCGGGAGTGGCTTGACGCTTGCGCACGCCGCTGCCCCAACCGAGCATCGACGGGGATGAAGCGCCCGAGCATCGCCATTGTCGGCGCCGGGCCCTCGGGCCTCTGCCTCGGGGCCCTCCTACACCAGAGAGGCATCCCCTTCACCATCTACGAGCTGCGCGACCGTCTGAGCCCTGCAGCGCTGTCCGCGGCGCCCTCGGGCATGCTGGATCTGCACGAGGCGTCGGGCCTGGCCGCCATCCGGTCCTGCGGTCTGTGGCATCGCTTCCTCCCGCTGACGGCCGACTGCGGCCAGGGCACCATAGTCATGGACCGAGATGGAACCGTGCAGTACCGCGACGACGGCGGCGGCGGCGACGCGAACCGGCCGGAAATCGCCCGCAATGAGCTGGTCGGCCTGCTGCTATCGGCCACGCCCGCAGAGAGCGTTGCGTGGGGCCACAAGCTGCGCGGAGCAGCGCCGACGGCGGACGGCCGCGTCCAGCTCGACTTCGGGGACCGCGGCACCAGGGAGCATGACTTTGTCGTCGGCGCAGACGGGGCCTGGTCCCGGGTCCGGGGCTTGGTCACCGACGTCGGACCGCGGTATGGCGGCATCAGCTACGCGACATTGCACATTGCCGGAGCCACCGATCGACGCCCGGCGCTCGCGGACATGGTCGGCGACGGCTCGTGCTTCATCCTCGGCGGCGGCAACGGCCTCGTCAGCCACCGCGGAGCCCGCGGCGCCATCTCGGTCCATGTCAGCGCCGCCTCGGACGACGAGCACGCCCTGCAGGACCGGACGCGCGACCTGGACCCTGAGCAGTGGAGGCGGGTGCTGCTTGGCGACGCGGCCCTCTTCGGCTCGTGGAGCCCCGCCGTCCACGAGCTTATATCGGCCGGCTGCGACGAGGAAGCTGCCCGGGCGGGCTCGTCGGGCCCCCCGCCGATGAAGCCGCTCTACATGCTGCCTGTCGGACACGAGTGGCCGGCCCGGCCCGGGGTGGCCCTCGTCGGCGACGCGGCGCACCTGATGATGCCATGGGCTGGCGAGGGCGTCAACCTGGCGCTGCGCGACTCTCTCGACCTGGCCGAGGCCATTGCCAAGGCTTGGGACGAGTACTCGTCGTCTCCGGAATCCCAATCCTTCCCAGACGTCCTGCTGCTCCATGTTGCCGGGTTTGATCGGGCCATGTTTGCGAGAGCCAGGATAGCGGCGCAAGAGACGTGGACCAATTCAAAGCTTCTCTTTTCTCAAGATGGCGCGAGGGCCATGGCAGACTTGATGGCCAGCTTCGGGGCGCCGGAGTAGGGCCTCCGGTGACGAGGAAGCGTGGTGTCTCGGAGCAAGGCTTCATGCAACGAACTTTTATTATGATATCTAGGTATAGACACATTAAGGGCAAGCTGGCCCAGACAATGTAGTATTCATGTTTCAACAGAACTGACTTCGATACCGCCTTGTGCTTCTAAGCCATGCATGTCCCGTACTGTATATCTTGCCCCAGTTTACCTTTGTTTCTCGCTCGAGTCCTCCATGTCTAAATCCACCGTCCCTATGATGGTGCAGTACGTGCCCAGAAGCTCGGCCAAGTGCCGCTCGCGGTTCCGAAAATGCCGCTGCCCCACGCGCCCAATGCATTCCTGTGCCCTGTTGAGGACGTCGGGGTGAAGTGGAGCCGGCAGGGCCAAGATTTCGACAGGCCCAACCTCCAGCTCGGACCCTGGGTTGGCGCCGCAGAGAGCGTCGCGAAGCCTGGGGTCCGATGCCAGGTTGAGACAAAGGTCTTCGAAGAGGGCGTGCTGGTGGAAAAAGGCGAGTACGTCGGGCAGTGACGATGGATCGGGGACGAAGCGATGGAGGAGCGTTATCTGCTGCTGCTGCTGCTGCTGCTCCCGATGCTTCTTATTCTTCTTCCTCTTCTTCTTCTGCTCTTGCTCTTGTTGTTCTCGGAGGAGAATCTCGGCTCGGGCGGCAAACTCGAGGCTCGTGGCCAGCTCGCTTGGCTCAAGGGCCCTCAACTCGTTCGGCCAGGCCTGGGAGCGCGTGTAGCCGACCCGCCAGCGCCACCACAGGTTGCAGAAGATGGACGAGATGACGACAGGGATGAGGATGACATACCCCCACCAGTAGATGGACGTCAACATAGAGCCGGCGCCGCCGAGGATGGTGGCGCTGCCGTTGATGACGCAGAAGACCTGGACGTTGCGGCTGCGGCGCTTGACGAGGCTGGCGGCGCGGGAGCCGGGCAGCAGGCGGCGGGTTGCGCAGACGTGGGCCTGGGCCTTGCACCAGATGTAGATGGCCCAGGCCGAGTTGACGAGCCCAAAGGCGGCAATGGGCGTGTTGCCGAGCCAGCCCGACAACAGGTTGCTGGCAGCAAAGACTTGGTCGCTCGTGCCGCCGCCAATGGCCATGTAGGTGCCGGCCGAGATGAGGACGGCGCCGAAGCCCATGAGCACGTCCATGACCCAGCGGTTGATGACCTCGCCGCCGAGCTCGCGGAAGCTGACGGCCAGCAGCACGTCCAGCGCCCGGCCCGCCGGCTCGACGGAGCACTTGCCGCCGTCGCCGCCCGGGGCTTGGTCCTGCTGCTGCCGCTGAAGCCGGAGCTGGCGGCGCTGCCGCCGCAGGAAGCGGATGTTGTTCCACGCGCGCCGGGCGTCCCGAAAGGCAAAGACGCTCATGAAGGCCGCCAGCGTGCCGCCGACGCCCATGAGGACGGCGGCGAAGAGGGGCACGGGCAGCTGGTTCCACACGTTGGCCGCAAAGTCGCCCGCGTTGGCGAGCTCGAGGCAGCCCACGACCCACGACAGGTTGTTCTCGAGCCGCGAGCCCCGGGGGAGGCTGAACGGCGTGTTGCCGGCCCGCACCAGCCGGACCCGGCCCGTCTCCGCGTCGGCGCTGGCCCCTTGTTTCTCCCCGCCGGGCGAAGCCCCTGGGCACGACACAGCCTCCGCCGCTCCGGCTCGAGCCGCATCGTGCCCGGCGGCGATCGTTGTGGCGCAGCAGCCCGCCTCCCCGGCAGGCGTGATGCTGTCGCTGTCGTCGCCATCATGGCTCGATGGGGGCGACGCCGGCCGCAGGGGCAGTGCCATGGTGGCCAAGTCGGTTCTGGAAGGGGTTGCCGAGTGGTCGCCCGTCTCGGTAATCGGCACTGCCGACTCTCTCAGCATGAGGAGGATGGGCCGAGTGGCATGCTCGTCGACGGCTTCGCCCCCTTCAAGTACTTGGTACTGGATCGGATTCAGGGTCAGAGTCCAGCAAAGTTCGATGGCAAGGGGCTGCAGATGATGCCACTTTTGCTGTGGGCCCGGAGGAGAGTTTGTCGAGACCAGATGCGCTCCTGTATCACTGGTCAAGCCTGTGATAGACGGGAACCTTTGCGTATTTCACCGAGAGTAAAGGAGAAAAGAAAAGATTGAGCAGAATAATGGCCAAGAAGAACCGCGATGTCGACCTTTGCCGACGGATGTACAAGGAAATCACGGGCAGCTTCGTATTCACACCTTGAAGCTGACCGCCGTGACTCGCCAACCGACCATTACGAAGTACAGATACAAGTGGCAAGTCGGGATGACGCAGCCTGGGAAAAGGTTTTCGAAAAATCGATCCAAGAAATCCAAAAGGGCCCGCGTCGCAGTCGGAATCGCGGCACGGTCGTGGTCCAATAGACGGAAACCCCCGGTCGACACACGCGCGCTTGCGCGGCCATGTCTCGCAAGTCCACTCGTCGAGACGGGCCCGACAAAGCAAGCATAGACAGGACTGCACACCGAGTCCCCAGCCATTCCAGTGCTTGCTGAGAAGACCGGACTGAACGCGCGGCCACCACTGAGTACACATACTGTACTTCGTAGTCGATGACCAGCGGTCAGGGGGGTGGTTCCACGGTCGAGAACGACAAATCTCGCACCTGCTCACCAGTCTTGCTTGGCGGGATGTTTTGCTCCTCCCGCGTGACGGGCGTTGCCAATGGCAAAAGGGGTACGAGATCTACGTACTTCTGGGGTTCAGGGGTCAGACCTCGGGGACCCCGAACACGCGTGGAGTCTGCCACATGATCTAGCGCCGAGGAGAGCGAGGGAGGATCCTCTCATAGGGCAGATGAGCTGGGCCAACCAGCGGTGGACAAGGAAGGAGGAGTCTTGGGAGCGGAAGGGTCAGCGGTCAGGCAAACACAAACGCCATCAAGCCCCCCCCGACATCTGCAGGTCAAACAATGTCCCGGAGTCGATTGGCTGGGGGAGGGGGCTGCATGGGCGGGCGCGAATTGAGGACACGCCGCCGTTGATTGCGGGCTGACTGAGAACGAGCCGCCCAGGCTAGATACGCTCATCGTCCACTGGTAAAGCCATCGGCAAGAGCACCGTCTCTCTATCCATGGCGCCATCCCGCATCTCGCGCCAAGGCCTGAGCGAAGCTACGCAGTTGCGAGTCCTCGGATCCGAGTATTTATGACTGCCATGGATCTGGAAGCAAGGCCCCTGATTCCGAGATTCGCCCAACCAAAGAAAGGGACTGGTCCCGAGCACGTGGGATAAGGGTCAACCACCGCGAGTCAGGACGCCGAGGGCTAGCTGGAGGCGGACAGGCTCCAAGGCTCCAAGGAGGATCCAATCCCTGTGCGTCCTTTTTTTTTCTCGCCGACTTCGCCACAATGCCAGTGACAGCTCGGGCTACCGGACACTGGTCCTTTCGACACTCGAGGCCAGCTCTATCGTTACACAGACAAGGCGGAGATATTCCATCATAATGACCTCGGCGGGTCATCATATGCGTTGCGAATGAAACTGAACGAAGAGCCTGCCATGGCATCATAGAGCCCGATCAAAACGTAAAAGTGATCTCATCGATGCAGCTGGAAACATGGCAATGTCCATTGCGAGCGCTTCGACATCTGCCTCCACCCATGTCTACAAGACGCCAGCACCGACCTCGAATCGTATGCGGATGAACTCACGTTCTGTATTGCCAATGCCGCGTGACAGTATTTCATCATCCCAAGGCAAATAATGCTGGCCTTCTAAGAGTGCTGAGCTATCCACCTCCAAGTAAACACCCCGGGACGGACTAGACGACGACTCGGAAAACAGACACCCTTGAAGAAAGCGCAATATATCCCGGGATCAAGTCAGCATGGCGAGCACTGGCGCCTTGACAAAAGAGGATCTCTTCGACCTCTCGGGTAAAGTCGCCCTCATCACCGGTTCGTCAACCTCGGGCCCCCTTGACCATCTCCACTTTGCACCCTGCTACGCCAAACTCTGTCCCAGACTAACGACGAGCGTTCACGAAAAAAGGAGGCGGGTCGGGCCTCGGCCTCATGATGGCGCAATCTCTGGCCGCCAACGGGGCCAAGGTCTACATCTGCGGACGCACCAAAGACAAGATCGAGACGGCTTCCCAGGTCCACAGCAAGGGCGCTGTGGGCGACATCATCCCCATCCAGGCCGACGTCTCATCCAAGGAGGAGATCAGGGCGCTCTTTGACGAGATCGGGTCCCGCGAGAAGTGCCTGTGCATCCTCGTCAACAACGCCGGCGTGTGCGAAGCGACATACCCCGTGGCCGAGGCCAAGTCGGCCGACGAGCTCAAGCGCTTCCTCTTCGACTCGGACAAGGGCACCTTTGACTCTTGGATCGACGTCTACCGCACCAATGTGGCATCCGTCTACTTCACCACGGCCGCCATGCTGCCGCTCTTGCAGGCGTCGACGGAGCAGCACCCCGGTTGGTCCGGCACCGTCATCAACGTCGGCTCCGTCTCGGGCGTGGTCCAGTCCGCCGAGAATCACTTTAGCTACAACGCGTCAAAAGCGGCCGTGAGCCACCTGACGCGCATGATGGCCTCTGAATTTGCCGCCGCCGGGTTGAAGATTCGCGTCAACAACATCGCCCCCGGCGTCTTCCCCAGCGAAATGACCACGGGCGAAAGCGACGACGTGAACAAGAGCCACATCTCCAAGGAGTCGTTTGAAGGAAAAGTTCCGGCGGCCCGCCCCGGCAAGGATGAAGACATGGCTTCCACTGTCCTGTTCCTCGCCGCGAATCAGTATCTTAACGGCCAGACGGTGGTAGTGGATGGAGGCAACAGCCTTGCGACTGGGATGTAGTGTGAAGAATGAAGCATCTCGAGTGGCTTTTTCTATGCTCTTCTGGTGCCCTAGCCGCCGTCCCCGGCGCTACGCCGACGGGCCATTTACATGAAAAACGAAATGTTGTGCACCGCTACTTCATATAACAAATGCAGTCTGATGTTTCTCTATACTGATTTTATGCCTATGGTTCTATCAAACTCATCTCGTATTTTCAAGTGACTTATAATGAAAAAGAAAGATTTTGGCAACTTATTGTATGGTAGTACTCGTGTAATTCACGAACAGTCTGATGGTAATTACACTTGACGCTCCCAACGTCGATGACAACCGCCGTTCGGCTCGTCTTGATCATGCTGTAATTCAACATTGCTGGGAGGGAGTTCCCGAAGTAAACGACGCGGCCCAGATGACCTTGATGGAACATCGACTTCCGTTTATATTCCGCGGAAAACAGAAGTGGAATGCCAAATGCTTACACATTTTCTCCCCCAAATTCCTCGCCGAATCGGTGAGGCGAGAAGGTAAGTCGGCCTGGGCCGAATATAGGGGTCAAGCATCAAATTTTGAGGAGGAACTAGAGTCGCCGAGTGAACTTCAACGTTATTGTCAGTGTCTCCCCCTACGGAAAGCTGCGCAATATTCATACGCTTGGGAGGCGATTCTACTGAGGAGCTCGTCAGCCTGAGCCTTGACATAGGTTATCTCGTGCAGATGAACCTTGACGGCGATAAGGCTCATCCGCAAGGCTAGGTAATGGGGTTATTGCAGCCACCTTCATTCATGTGCTAGGCTAGTGTTTTTGGCAGCGATCGGTCGAATTTTCGATCCTGGAGTATCTCCCAGAGTGCATACAAGGCTAGGAATTGCGTATGGCGATACCAGCGCCGATGCAGAGACACCATGATTGCTATAGCCCCAAAGGCAGACAGTGTAGCCTGTCGGATGGCTCAAAGGCCTGCCGTAGTGATGGCAGGTGATTGCTGCCGCTAGGTCCGTCGGGGAGCTCGCTGGAACTGGGAATATGTGTGAAAGGCTGGCCCGGAGTTTATTCAACAAGCAGGTGCCTAGATGTTGTCTATCTAGAGCTAAGGAGGAAAAGAAGCTGAACTCGAGGCGTAGCCTCGAGTGCGAGCTTATATTACCCTTCTCGGAATGTTCTCGCAGCTTCTGGGTCCGCGGGCCGGCCGGTGTTGCCACCGGGCACGACCCACCGGACCCGGTACAACCGGTCCACCAGCCGGGCACAGCCCGTGACATTACCCCTTGTCCCCTCCGACCAGGTCGGCGTCTGCGGGGTTCTTGCGTTCCTGCCAGCGTCTCGTACCTCTCCCTAGGGCCATCATTGGTCTTGATTGGCCCGTACTTGTCCTCGAATGCCTTCATCGCAATTGTTCCTTGCAACCACTCAACTGGCTCCCAAGTCGGCTCTGCGTAGCCCGTCCATCGCACTAGTGCTTGCCTGAATTCCCCTCGTCCCCGCTTCTTCCATCTCGCGCAGAGAATCTCGTCGACATCCCACAGATTCGTGCCGGACTCATCTTGTACCGGTGGTGGCTGTGCGTCATCTACCTTTGGCCAGGAGCCGGATCTTGATGCGCCCGCCGCAAAGGTCAACATGAAATCGCGGGTAAATTGAGCCACGAACATCGAGCTCAACAACGTGCGAACTAATTACCTTCGTGACTGTGTACTTGTGATGCAGCCAGTCGAGCTTCTTGCACGGTCGTGGCGATCTGTAGTTTGCCATCGAGAGCCACACCTTGTCACCAACTTCAAATCGCTCCGCAGGCTGTCGCTTTGCGTTGGCAGCCTCTTCTTGTTGTTGCTGTGAGGAGGCCATCACTGCTTGCATGTACTCATTGACCTCCTGCAGGCGACTGAGTAGGCTATCAGCTCTGCTTTCCTCTCTATGCCTCGGTGGCTCTTCCGATTCCTCGACGCTGATGGGATCGACGTGGTAACCATGCTCAGCGAACAGGGGCTGATCTTGGTCGCTGCGGATTCACGATTGTTGAGTGCCAGCTGCGCGGCAGGAGCAGTTCTCCCAGTCGTCCTGCACGTACGACACGTAGGCTCTCAGGTAGGCCTCGATCTCCTGGTTCATTCTCTCTGGCCCTCCGTCCGTCTGAGGATGATAGGCCGTGCTCAATTTCTGCGTGACACCTGCAAGACGGCAGAACCTCTTCCAGAACCTACTTAGCCAGTTGCTCCGCGGTCGCTGACGATGGACCGTGGCATTCCGTGAAATCGGTAATGACACTGGAGAAAACGGTTTGCACACGGCTCAGCTTCCATGTTGTCCATCACCTCGAGGGTCACAGCCTTTGTCAGTCTGTCCACAATCACCCACAGGTACCTTGCCTTGCTCGGTCCAGTAGGCGGCAGATCTGTGATGAAGTCCATGGACAAATGGCTTCGGGGTCGATCTGGAATCGGCAGAGGCTTGAAATCCCCTTTTCGACTGGCGCCAGATGTGTGCTCTGCCGCAGGTGTCGCAATTGGCTACGTACCGGCGAACCAGCTGGGACTGCCCAGGCCAGTAGAATCGCCGAGCCACAATAGCCAGCGTACCTTCCTGCCGGGATGACCGGTCGCAACAGAGTCATGCGACTGCTGCACAATGCGGGTTCTCAACTGGTCTTTCTCAGCTTCCTCCTGGTTACCCTCCTCTCCGGATCCACCCGGCACCCAAATACGGTCTCTGAATGTCAGCCTTTTGCCTGCGTCGATCGCACATTCTGAAATCTGGATCTTCAGGCCCAGCGAGGGCGGGAAGGCACGCTCGCGATCGCGGACTGCCTTATAGGCTGCCCGGAATATCGAGTCCTTCGCCACCGTTTCGTCCCAGAGTTGCTGCAGGTCCGCTACCTCGAAGACCTTCATCTTCGGCAGGGTGGATGCCTCTGAACAGTCAGAACTCATCGCGTTGATACATGCTCTTGTCGATGATGGAATGGCACTATCCGGTATCAACTGTATCATTCTTCCTTGTTCCCGCTCGTCGTCAATGCCCTGTGGCTTGTCTTGTTCACGGCGGGACAACGCATCAGGCACGACAGCCTCGCTTCCCGGTCGATACTCGAGCTTGAAGTCGAACTGGGACAATTCGGCTGCCCAACGGCTCTGCCGTTCCGTGAGCTTCTGGCGTGTCATGAAATACTCAGGTTGCGGTGATCGGTAAGGATTGTAAATGGGCCGCAGCTCCTAAGTTCGGCGTTCCAGTTGTCGAGACATCTCATGATGGCAAGCATCTCCTTGTCGTGAATGGGATAGTTGTACTCCGCTGGCGAAAGTCGCTTCGAGAAGAAGGCGCATGCGTGTCGACGTCCATCTGGGCCTTCCTGCGACAGGACGCCTCCCAATGCGTAGCCTGAGCAATCCGTCTCCAAAAGGTCAGGAGGCTCGGGTCCCACTGCTTGAGCACCGGTGACTCGCAAAATCGTCGCTTCAGCTCCTGAAACGCCTCGTTCTCCGCTCGTCCCCAATGAAAGGCAGTTCCTTTCTTAAGCAGGGCATCCAGAGACTGCGTGATCTTGGCATAGTCGGGGATGAAGATCCGGTAATAGTTGGCGAAGCCCAGAAAGCTTCTGACACCCTTCACCGTGGTCGGGGCCTCCCATTCGCGGATGGCGCGCTGCTTTTCGGGGTCGCAGGCGATTCCTTTCCTGCGTTGACGATGAACCCAAGGTATTTGACCTCTTGTACCGAAAACTCGCACTTCGCTGGGTCTAGGTGCAGCCCAGCGTCGGCGAGTGCTTGGAGAACTCGTCGCACCTTAGCCTCATGATCCGCCTTCGAACCGCTCGAGTAGATCAGTACATCATCCAGGTACGCTGTGACAAAGTCGTCCAGCCATTCGCGCAATACACTGTTCATGTATCGTTGGAATGATGCCGGGGCGCCGCTCAGGCCGAAAGGGCACACGAGCCACTCGTAGAGCCCAAACCTCGTGCGAAATGCAGTCTTTCCCTCATGTCCCGGAGCCATGCGGATCTTATGGAAAGCGGCCACCACGTCCAACTTGAACCACTTAGCCTTGGCCAGATTCTGCAGGGTCTCCGCGATGAGGGCAGTGGGTATCGGTCGCGCTTGGTGATTGCATTCAGCGCTCGGTAGTCGCAACAAAATCGCAGCCCTCCATTCGGCTTCCGCACGAACAGCACCGGCGCGGCAGCCGCTGAGCTACTCGCTCGGATGAATCCTCTGTCCAGCAGGTCTTTCAGGGTCTTTCGCAAGACCAACAGCTCTTCTCGTGACATGTTGTAGAGTGGGCCCCACGGAAGGGTGGCTCGTTGCCGTTCTTGTCAGGCTGCAGGTTGACTTCATGATCCACACCCGGTCGATGTGGCGGCAGCTTCATTGCCTCTCCTGGTGAGAATAGGTCGCGGAATTCTTTCAGCACTTCTGCCGGGACCTTCTCGCTCGGATCGACTGGCGGCTTCGGCTGAAGCGCCCTCTCTATATCCGACAAACTGATTGCATGAATCGAGATCGCGTTGCACTTCTTGCGTCTCTTTGCGCGTCGACACTCCGCCGTGAATACGGCTGCCGACACGAGTCTTGCGCTTCGAATCGCGCGTATCTTGGCGGGCTCTTCCTGCCCAATGAGGCGTATCGTCACACCTGCCCTCCCATGGTACATTCGCTGCTTGGCAGCATCGTACACGACGTGATTTCTCTCCATCCAAGGCCGGCCGAGGAACATGTCCTGGCCCAGGCTTGGGATCACGTATCAAAGACACGTTCGTCAAATCCAGCTGTCTCGACCACAACAGCCACGACCCTGGGGATATGACACTCTTCGCTGACTCTGAGAATCCCCCAATTTCTCGTGGTTTCGAGTCGACGAAGGGTATCCGCAGCTTCCGAACAAGGGCTTCGTCGATCACGGCATAGCAGTCACATCCACAGTCGACAAGGGCGCGTATTCGATAGCCTCGGTTTACCCGCGCGTTGACTAATACAGTCCGACTATTCATTCGTGGCTTGAACGCTTCCCAGTCCCGGATGTCTGCCTTTGCAGGCCCCGGCGCCCGCTTTCGCCCGGGGCTAGTCTTTTCCCGCCGACTCGTCCTCACTGGATGCTGCGGTTGATTCCGAATCATCTGCGGCATCGGGCTTCTTCATGCGCGCAGCTTTAGGTCGCTGTTGCTTCCCTTCGCCAGGAAAGACCACCTGGGCTGGGCAGTCCACGATAAGATGATCCGTCCGACCACAGCGATAGCAGCGGCGCTCATCCTTCGGCTTCTTATCGACATGTCGACGACCCTTCGACTCGTGGCCAATACGGTTGATGTCCGTCATCTTAACATCTCCGTCGGGGTCCTCCGGTTCCTCCTTGGGTCGTTGCCTTGGTAGCTGTTGAGGCGTCCGCTCAGTCGACGTCGGCTGCCTACCGGGTTTCAGTCTCTCCAATCTGCCCGCAATTTCCTGAACTCTCGCAAGCCATCCCTGGTAGTCGTCGGGTAGGACGGCTGTGACCAAACTCTCTTGGAGGCGTGCATTTATTGCGTTCTCTAGAAATACGATCTTTGCACTGTCCGGCCAGTCTGCTCCCCCGGCTTCAGCTAATGCCTGTTCGAATCGGGGAAGGAAGGACGCGAGAGGTTGGTCTTCGCGCTGCCGCATAGTTCTCAGCGTGGCAGCAGCGCGGGATTGGATGTTGCTGTCCTGGTAGGTTCGGTCGAGGTATCGCATGAACTCTTGGGGTCGTAGCTACCCCAGGGCCTCCGCGGCGTAAAGGTAGCGACCACTTGCTGTGGTCGCTCGTCCAAACATGAGTTGATGAGGTACCAAAGTTCGCGATTTCCACTGTAGTAGTGTGCATCAAGGTCCAGCTTGTCTCGCATCTGCCTGGCCCAGGAGGAGTAGCTCTTCCGTGAGCCGTCATACTTGGGTGGGTTGGGCAACGGTTTCCGCATTCCAGTACCGCAGGTTTTGGGAGGGCGTGCCCAAGCCAGGCGTGCTCTCGCCCAATCCTCGTGCCACTGGCGGCGATTGCAAGTCGGCGCTCTGCGGCTGCGCTCGCCCGAGTTGCTCCATCAGCAAGGAAAGTTGGTCCTGTAGAGGGCTGAGAGTCGCATTGACCGCTTCTTGAATGCGTTGGTCAATCCATTGCTGCTGGAGACTTGGGCTCTCACTCTGCTGGTCCATCCTGACGAGCAGTCTGCAGCTTGCGGTATTTAGAAGGAGCTCTAGATATGTGAAAGGCTGGCCCGGAGTTTATTCAACAAGCAGGTGCCTAGATGTTGTCTATCTAGAGCTAAGGAGGAAAGAAGCTGAACTCGAGGCGTAGCCTCGAGTGCGAGCTTATATTACCCTTCTCGGAATGTTCTCGCAGCTTCTGGGTCCGCGGAGCGGGGCCGGTGTTGCCACCGGAGCACGACCCACCGGACCCGGTACAACCGGGTCCACCAGCCGGGCACAGCCCGTGACAATATGATAGACAGTTGAAAGCTTCCAGGAGGGCCCCGGCAAACAAGAGAATTCTGTATACTATCACCTCTTTATCAAAGTCTGGGGCTGAACCCGATCTCGGAGTTGCAAAGGCGCCGAGGACATGTGGAAGCCTGAATGAGCGACATTATGTCCACTGGCACAGTGTTCGCCGGCTGATCACCTCTGAAAGTCTGGTGGCTCGCCCTGGTCCAGGAGGCGTGCAAAGCTGGGCCGCTTTAGTTCGTAGAGTGCGACCAGAACATAAACTCGCAAGTTGTTGATTTTGAACGGCGACGGTACATTCTCCTGTCTCTGGCACTGATCTAGGAGCCTAGGGCGGGTACACCGTCGAAACCGCAGTCAAGGTTCATGTTCTGGACGGTCAAGCAGCTTTTTGAAGAGGGATGTACTTGTAAGATTTAGAAATAAGGGTGCTTTTGCACTGCCCCAGGGTGCCTGACCACATATATAAATGGTTCGGCGGTTCAATCTTGGAATCGACAAGCCACGATCCAGCAGCGCAGTTCCTCCTCCACGCCCTCGAATCTCAAGCTATTTTCCAGGAAGCATCTGCGTCTTGCCCAAGGTTAGCAAGATAGTAGCAAACCTTGGAGTGCTTGCCGCGTACCTGGGTGAATCTCTGGCAAGGGGATGTCCCGCCTTGCCTCTTGCTTTCTCTGGTAGTCCGTGCCAAACCTCGCATCTCGTTCCTCAACCTTTGCAAAGTCAAGCTGGCCGTCGGCCGTGTAGCTCGTCATCAACTGGGGTTCGCCCAACGGCACTTTGTGGCCCTTGTCCGTTTGCCAAAGATGATACACCTTGCCGTACAGCGTGATGATCTGCTCCATTTCCTTCTTCTCGCCCAGTTCCCAGGCGGAGTCGGGGACACTGGGATTGGGCATGATGAGCATGCCTGACTTAACCTCGTAGACGTGGGAGTGCCATAGGCGGCGCTCTTCGGGCGGCAGAGAGTCGTAAATCCTTGGAGTTACCATGTACTCCACGCCCAGCAGACGCGCATTGGCCTCGGCAGAGTCGTACAAGAGGCATTGGCGCACATCGTCGTCTTTTCTCGATGGTTAGTGACGCGGACGTGCAAGCGGCTCGAGGCAGGACCGGCAACATACTGACATGGCCACAGTAGTGGTTGGCTTCCACGCTGCGGCTGGGCTCCGAAGCGTAGGCGTGAAAGGCGTTCAGATGAGCACAAATGTTCTTTATTGGCTTGAAGTCCTGCGCGCAGGCACGCGTTAGCGCCTGGTCCGCAAAGGGAGGTCAATCATCCTGGGGCCGGGTGCAGACCTGGCTCATGGACGCCACGGAGGTAAGAAGTGTGTTCTCCGTCGAGACTGCTTCTCCGCGAGCCTTGTTGGTAATGGGGATTTTTTCCATGTTCCACAATAGTCCGTTGCCGCACGTTTATTGTTCGTGTATCGAGCTCGGAATGTGCGATTCCGAGACAAGGACGGCAAAAAGCAATGAGAGCATCGAGATGCGGAGCCAAGAGGGGGAAAGGAAGAATGAGAGAGTCCCACGGGACAAGCACGCAGACGGAGCACCCTCTCCGTATTTCGTCATGCTGACGTACGGTCTAGGCAGGGCCACGACGTGATAAAGAGTGCAGGCACGAGGAAGAGTGCTGCCTTTCCGATCAATATCCTGGCATGAGATGTGGGTGAGAATACACACGAGGGACCGAGGACAAGTTGACTCTCTGACTACGTGTGGGAGCTGCCCCATGGTGACGGCCGTCGACCACCTTTTCTTGGCTCGAAGCGCCTCGAAGTGGGCAGATAGCCAGATACTCCATCACTTACATGGCTCGCACAAATTCCTATTGTGAATAGAGACGAGCAAAGACGACTGTGGACCGGTGAATATATATATGCACCCGAATCCGGTATGGCGTTTACGGATCACCATAGCGAGGATTCTGCCCAGAGTGTGGTGAAGCCTCCAGACTTGCTTCAATCTGAAAAGTACCACAACAGATCAATAAATAGACGGGTTTGCCAGATACTGTACATCCATCCTCAGAGTCAATAAATGGAGCAAACGCATGGGACCAAGCCTGCATCGGGCACCCTCCCTGTCTGTCATTCTTTGCTCGGGAAAGCTGTGCCACCTGACTCATGTTCAGTCTCTTTCTTCTGGGCCGTCATAGACTTGTTCCATCCTCGGTCGATGAGAATCGAGTGCCGGACGGCAACTCCGTTAAGCCCCATCCGCGAGGCTTGGCGGTGCACACTGACTGCGTCTGTGACCTTTTCAAATGACGGCTCGATCATCTCGTCATCGACAGACGAGATCTCAATTCCGAGGTGAATGACGGTGTCATGATGCAGGTTCCACACCCATCTGGCTGCTCGCGGCACGACGTCAACTTGCCATCACGATGAGCGAATCTGCTTCCCAGTGATGATTTAAACTCATTAATGTCCGTATATTTTCCCTGCAGCCTGTCAACACCCATTGTCGAGCCATCTTGCGCACACAACCACCACTTTCACACCATGTTACACACGTGCTTGATGCTGCTCGCCCTGTGGCCGGCGCTCCTTGGACCGGTCTGCAGCGCTGTTCCTACAGCGCGTACAGACACGGGGACGGGCCCAACAAGATACCAAGATGTTGACGACGCACCATCTCCCACACCGAGGCCCCAGGTCTCTCACGGACCGTACAATGGACCGCCGGCTACCACAACGGGGGCACTGTCAACAGAAATTCTCTCCCAGTCGATAGATCCTTTGCCTGCGGACCCAAAGAAGTTCAGATACGCTGCTGATGGGCAACTACACGATAAACAGCCCGCCCCCTTCACTCCCCACGGGGGCGAGGGCACGGACGGATCTGAGCCCGTGTACAGAGTCCAGAGTGACTTTGACTATCAGTCCATTGCGTTGGCATTGTATCAAGAGTGGATTGAGCTCGACCTCTTCCACTGGGGGCTCGCGACCTTCTCTGTCAAGGACTTTGAAGCCGCCGGTCTCAAGGCCGAGGATCGCTTTCTACTCGAGTTCATGGCCAACCAGGAGGTGGGCCATGCAAAAGCCTTGACAAATATGCTCGGACGGCAAGCACCACGGCAATGCTCATACAATTATCCCGTCCGCAATGTGCGCGAGTATATCGACTTCTGCCAGAAACTCACTCGCTGGGGCGAGGCTGGAGTTTACGGCTTCATCAACCACCTCAACGCGCGCGAGGTCGGCCAAATTCTGATTCAAAGTATCACAACCGAGGCCCGTCAGCAGATGATCTTTCGACAATTCGAGGGCCTCTTTCCCATGCCAGAGTGGTTCGAGGTCGGGATCCCGCAGTCCTGGGCCTGGACGCTGCTTGCGCCCTACATCTCGTCCTGTCCTGCGCATCAGACGAGACTTGTTTGGCAAAACATGCCCTCGTTGCGCATCCTAAACCAGCCCAATCCATCACGTGTGCACGGCGAGCGCGATTGGGATGAGACGACTGGCGGATACGCGAACACCCTGAGCACGGCGAATGTACCCAGCGAAGATGATTGCCTGAAGGCGACTCGCCAAGGAGAACGTTGCGAGCCAGCCATCACCAACAACAGAACCCACCCTTTGTCGTACCCAGGGCGCCGGGTCTTCTTCGAATGGGACGAGCCCGGAAAGGCGATTGGGCCCAACAACAGCTACGTGACTTCCACCACAGTCACACATCCTGAATTTGCGGCTTGGGTAACGCAACTCAACGTCACGTATACGCCATTGCACAACGTCTCGCAAGGGATTGCCTACACTATCCAACCAAACACATCAACATTTGAAGGGGACCCCGCAGTGAACGGCACCATCTTCATTGCCTTGACGGATCTTGACCTTTACGTCACCCCCTTCAACTTGACAATGCTGAATCCACATGTGGCTGCCCTCGGACTATATCAGGCTGGATAGTAACTGTTGGAGGCGAAAGAGACCAAAAATGACACAATGTGGAAGTTTAAAGTTTATTCGGAATCGATAGACTCTGTATGTACACGACCCTGAAATACCACATGGCTCTGAGTAAAATCGCTGCGGGAGGTGTCTTTCAGAACTTTGCGCGCGAACTGTTGCTCCAAGATAATGGTTTGATATTCAGCTGCGTTGAAATTTGGATTCAAACCGTGTCCCGCCTAGACGTTACAGTCCGCAAGAAGTGTCGCGTTTCAAGCAAAGGGGGAATATACTCTACATTATTCGAAGTTTGGCATCTTGCCTCCATTCGGATCCAACACCCATTTCCCGCCCTCAGCCGCGTACGTAGAAAGTGAGGCTGACGGGTCCAGCTCCAGACCGCCAGTTGTTGCCAACATATGCACACGTATTTCTGAGACTTGGTCAGCATCTATAGAGTAGCGTCAGCTCGCCAAGTGTTTAACGCATCCGAGTGGCCGCAGTTTCACTTGGCTGAACCACCACTCGTGTTGGTCCTTGCAGGACCGCAGATAACCAACGGTTGCCAGGAGTCCGAAAATTGTCACCCAACAACCATCGCTTTCCACCGCTCCGGTGCCGCAGCATCTCCGACCGAATAGAGTCTATCATGGAGCGGATGGGTTTCGTCCCCGGGCCTCAGGCCAAAGAACAAATCTTCAACGCACAAGGCCATTTGTTCTTCTCGAGGCAGACCGCCCTCGACTACGCCGAAGAGTTTATTAAGAAAGCGCCCGACGGATACACGGACGCGCATATCCGCACGCACTACCAGTCAATGAAGGCCTGTTTAGGCGAGGGCGACCAGGTGGATATTTGGTTCGGCCTGCGTGATCCAAATCCGGCGAGGGGACAGCACCAGGACCCCTCTGGAGAGCTCGTAGGGCACACGTGGGCTCTGGTAAAGACTGCCGACGGAAACGAACGGCAGCTGTGGGAGGTTGGTCAGGAAACGCCCCCGATGGGGGAGGCACACGCTGCTCGGGCCTTCAACGCCTATCGAGAGGCCATGGCTCGGCATCTGAACATGGAAGCGCCAGAGCCTGTGCAGATCAACAAGCATGCCGCCAAAACGCCCCGAGATGTCAGCGGGAGACCTGTTATCTCACGGGCGTTGGCTCCATCTAACCTATACTATGCATCGAGTCGCATGTGGTACTTTGTTGACCTCGGCTTAGCGGGGGGTACGAACACGCCCATTATCCTTTCGCGGCCCATGAGATCCTTTGATGCGCTGGTCCTGTCAGCGCTCATGACGTTGGTGTTGAGTGCGCCGCCGCTGGTGTTTGGCATCAGTACACGCAAGACAGACAGGGCCTCGTCAACCCTGCCGGCGGGCTACCTTAGAGCCAAGTACGAGGCAGATGAGACGCTCCAAGGAGCTGATGACAGACCGGTTCTCGTTCTCTGACCATCTTTCCGTCTGGTCAGAAGGCTTGTACCCCGCGAGCCAGAATATGTGGCTGATGAGAAGAGCTTTCGAAATCATAGACAGACGCGGTGACTAGAAAAGCGCGGCCCAAATTGGGCATCTACAAGGAAAGAATCACGTTATAAATTGAGCATCTCAGGACACGTTGATCGAGGACGGCGACGGAGCGGAACACGCTTTCGACGTGGCTAAACCGCAACTCTTATCTGCGGCCACTGGAAATGAGGTATTTAGTCAGAATGGGGTTCTTGCTGTTCAGTCGACAGGAAGAGGAAAAAGTACCTGCTTAGTCTTTGGAATAGTTGGATGGAAGCTTATCACCTACCTTTTACGAGAGCTGGCTACATGAAGAGACGAGCCTTTGTGCATTCGCTGACGATTCGGGCCCGCTCTTAAGCACTTTGAGATTACAGAGGCCATTCACTCAATCTGGGAGGGCACAACTACCAGATTAGTCCCTTTTCGATTGTGGAGGATTGTCTCGATTCAGGTGAGTTGCAAAGTGGCCCAGGATTAGGCGCGGATTCCTGACGCGTCTGTTGCATTTAAGTCTTATGTTACAGTAATGCCCTTGGAAAAGAGTAGCCCTCATGTAAAGCCGGGCCCAAGGGGGCGGAACTACCATTGTAGCGCTAGAAGCATGGGCGACGGCAAGCAGACGCTCCTGCTTAGGGACGGGCTCCGGCTCAAATAAGGCATCTGCAGCAGTTAGAATAGGCCAGACGCGTCTTTACGTGGCCGGACTTATCACCCGTGCGCGGGGGCTCTTATAGCTGGTGTAAGAGGCAATAAAGTGCCGACATTAGCGGACCATTGATCCATTGCTTCGACCTGCACCTCTCTGGTGCACCCCTACGGACCTCCTCCGGGCCACCGTCAGACAGCGTTGGAGGGAGAAAGAGGACGTCGGCCAGGCTGTGCCGACAGGGCCCTACAGACTGCGCCGAGGGCGCGCATAGAAGCCAGCCGGGGCGACCGGACCAGGGAGGGGGCGTCCGTTAGGGTTTCTGGCAGGCCGCAAAGAAGGTCCTGCCCCCTTTACCCTTCCTTTCTATCTTTGGATGGCTCGCATTGACTTATTAGGGCCCCAGCTAAATAAGTGATATTCAGCTGATTAGAGCGGACGAAAGGGTGGGAGGGTACTCCATACAGGTGGGTACCTTTCTCTCGGTTGAAAATACGAGCAATATCATGTCTCTATACTATTCCATCATACAGGGAGCGCGGCTTTTGTGATCCGTGGGCTATAACGCTTTGCTTCGCCACTAACCCTCCCTCTTGTCAATACGGATACGAATAGAGGGATGACTTTTGGGCCGCCCCTCTACTGTACTCTTGGCAGTCTAAATAGGTGGGGGCCTCTTGTATGACGCCACCTTACAGTAGGCTCTCCAAGGAGACGTGTCCGGTCCCGGCCTAACCGTCACTTGGGCGTATCTTACAGTACATGGAACGGAAACGGCCACGGCAATGCTAGGCGGTCGAGTACGTGGCCAGTTCCGGTATGTTCCCCAGACCGCCAAGGCTGTCCGAATCTCTTGAGCTATTACGGTAGTCGCCGGGACATTATGCGTCCGCAACAAGTCCCGCCCGACCTTAATGCCGGCTCTCACCGTTACATCGAGCTTTTTTCAAGCCATCTCCGTGGGAGGTGATGACCAAGGCTGGACTGTTCGTTAGTAAAACCATGAATACAAGGGGAGCAATTCCTCTCGTTTCAACGGAAACACCATAAGATACAACGCCTAGATTATTAACAAGCTCCAACGCGCTGAAGAACGTACATGTTGGTACGGCAAGGCCAGGGGTTGTAGCGATGGGGACATTGCTACAAGTCCTGTTTGGGCTACGGCCGGTGGTGTTGGACGGCTCACAACAGCCGTCTGGGGAATTGGATCAACTGCAGCTCCGATCGCCAGTGCAATACTCATCAGACTTGTGGCGCTGCTGATAGCTGCAAGGATTTCGGTTGCGCCTGCCAAGGCAAGCTTGGAGTTGGATATGTACAAGCTGGTGAGCAGTCTCGGATCATTAGGAAGCTAAACACTACCGGGGACTGCGAGACTGGCTGTTTCATACGCGTCGCCTGGAGTTAGACTGGTACCTCTTTAGCATCGAGCAGAACTTGGGTCCACTGTTGTAGTGGCCAAAGCTATTGCACATACAGTACTGTTTTCATGCAAGATCCTCGATTCATGGAGGTGGAGCATCCGGCACCAGGAGCCTGATTCCCCTACACGACTGGGTCAATGAGGCCCTGCCGCAAGGGGTTGTGTGCTTGTCTCGAAAATGAAAGTCAAATAGAGGGGCTCTAGATACTAGTTGCTCTCCCAGTCAAAGGCCCCTTTCCTCCTCACCTCGCCGCCCGGTTCAGCTGAAGCTGGCGGGGAGACGACTTCCAGGTCCCCCCTCGTATGGCAACACGTCAAATCAATCAGTCGGTCAATCAACTGAGCATCTCAGAATGTTCACGGCCAGATTCCCCTTCCCTGTCCCGGTCCGTCGCCGCGTCGCAGTCGTCGCCGCCCTGTTCCTCGGTTTGTTCGCCGCCTACAGATATCTGTGGGATGACATCTCTTCGCCATTCCCGTATATGCCCTGGACTCCCGCCGGTCGGTGATCTTGGTCCCATCCTGCCCGAGCCTGTGGGAACAAAGCACTAAGTTGACGAAAATAAAGAATACGGCGGCAGCTGGACTAACGAGGCCAAATCCCGGCCCGGCTCGACGCCCTGGTCGATGTTGCCAAGCAAAGATGGCAATCCAGACCATCTGCCTTCTGCAGACAAGTACGTCGCGTCCATCATGTCGACCCAGGGCGGGAACCACCAGAGGATAGACTGCCCGCCCATCAATCGGAGTCGGTACAAGGCCCTCAAGCGGCTGGGTTGGGGGCTCAGCTCCAGGCGGAGGTTCTTTTTCGCCCTCGATCTCCGCCAGATCGTTGACTTGCTGCCGACACTGATGGGGTCCATTGTCGAGGCTATCCGCTTTCTCGGGCCTGAAAACTGTGCCGTGTCCATCGTAGAAGGGTTCTCGACCGATGGCACGTACGAAGTGTTGAAGTCGCTGCAGCGCGAGATGGATAACCTTGGCGTCTTCTACTACCTCCAAACCAGCGACATAAACTCCCACTACGGCGACCGCATCGGCAAGCTCGCCAAGCTACGCAATCTTGCTCTCGAGCCTATGATGGCCGATGCGGCCAAGTGGGACCACGACACCACCATCCTCTTCATCAACGACGTGGCGATCTGCACCGATGACATCCTCGAGCTCCTGTACCAGAAACAGCTTCAGGGAGCGGACATGACGTGCTCCATGGACTACCATCGACTGTACGGCCGCTCTAACCAACGCCTCGCCTTCTACGACGTATGGGTCTCGCGGAGCATGGACGGAAACAGCTTCTTCGAAGTCCCAGGCCATGGCGACTGGCGCCACGCTTGGGACATGCTCCCCAACGACGCCCACGCGCGCGCGCGGTTCGAGGACAGGAAGCCTTTCCAGGTGTTTGCATGTTGGAACGGCGCAACCGCGATCACGGCCGCACCTTTCCTGGACGGACAACTCGAGTTCCGCCGCGCGGCCAAGCACAGGGGTGAGTGTGGCGCCGGCGAGCCGACGCTTCTTTGCAAGGACATGTGGAACATGGGGTACAACAAAATCTTGGTGGTGCCGAGCGTCAGCCTCGGTTATAGTCTCCAGGAGGGAAGCCATGTCAAGAGGGTGAAGGGATACACATCTAGCTGGACGGGCGTCGAACAGAACAGCCAACTTGCTCTCAAGGTCCAGTGGAATCCAAGCCCTCCTGAGATGGTGAAGTGTATACCGAGTTGGCGGAATCAGTTTTGGAAGCAATGGAATCACGGCTTGGGAGTGCCACCTGACATGCGTAGGAACGGCCAGTGAGTCAAACTCGAGCGAGGAATAGGGTTGTGCGAATACCACCGCATCGAGGCGCCTTTCGGGAGCCAATGTAAAGTACTGTGATTGTGACCAAGCTTGTATTCTCATGTTTGACGATGCAGAGAGCAGCGATACCTGAGACGCCTGTTAGGCGGTGCCAGACGGACGTCAGTCGACGGCGCTGACGCAGCATAGGCCATGCTATCATGCGAGTTGTCCGAGCTGTGATCTTTGGCTCCATTGCCGGCCGATGAATGTGAGACGGAGCTCTGAAGAGCTACGGATGAACTCAAGCTCGACGTTTGGGCTAGAATAAGTATGGCGATCCAGATCATTGACGTTGAAGGAGCTGACCGCGCCGACACGCTGCAGTCTCATGTGAGGCGCCCCAGTACAAGAGCCACAGTGGACAATACAGATGCCGACCGCTCACTAAAGAATCTCATAGTTATCGCAGGTGAGTACGAGGGTCGCTTGCGTGAAGCGCGAGAACTCGGCGCGAAATACCACGGCGTGCTAATGCTTCATGTTCCCAGCGTAAGTTTGTATGGGCCTCGTCATCCCCTGCATTGACCCTTGCCTGCTATACTCACGAGCGTGAGTGACAAGTTCTTGTCTTGTCATGAATAAGAGATAAGGCGGGCTGATGCTCTTCAAGAACGCAAGTCCATGACGACCCATCGCCGAGCGCACAAGAAAGACTGCAGTAAAGCTGCCGACGAAAGACGCAAGTCCCTCGAGCACGGTAGTGAAGAAAGACAAGTGCCGAGATCCAACTGAGTGAAGCGGAGAGCGCAATATAAAACTCGCGCAAGGCGACTGCGATGGTCGGACACCAGACTTGTTTCTCGCCGGCCGACCGACGCAAAGTTGACCACCTAGGTGTATTTGCCTTCATGGAGCATGAACGATAGACAGCCCCGGCGCCGTAGAGCAAAGCTCCAAGCCAATGGCCATTCGCTCAGGCGCTTTGCCCCGGAATGGTTTCGGAACAGGCGAGGCAGCGTCTCACCGGGCAACCACGCGTTTGCCTGAGGTTCCGATCATGGTGGCGGGTGGCCTGGACATATGTTTGAACTGTCAAAAAGACCGCAGCGTGAACCGGGAAATGAAGACTGCACATCTTTCTTGCATCCCTTTGCCTCGCCACTTCTGGTTTCGCGCACCGGCGTCTTGACGGTCCGCGTTCCATCTGTCGAATCTTTGACTCATCTTTCCAGTTCTCGTCTCATGCTCAAGGTTGGAAGTTCGGGTCGCTTCACTTCTTCGTTTCGCGCCACGCGCGTACCTGCAAGGCCATGGCCTCGCCTCGCGGGCTGGTGAATCTGCCATGTCCATCGCCGACGAGCTCTGTCAAGCGGAAGCGAGACTCCGAAACGCCTCTTCACATGTCCTCGCCCGCGAGTATTTCTTCCGGACTTTCGAAAGAGGAGCGCAAACGATTTTTTGACTTGCTTGCAAAAGGAGATAGCCGTCTGGCCATGGTCAAGCCCATCTTGTCAGCCGAACACTTGACGAAGATGCAGCTAAACAGGTGCTTTGAGATTTTGCACGCCTCCAGAAGGGCAACTAATTCGGACGCGACGCTGACATCGACTCGCCAAAGGATCGACGGCTTTCTAGATGCCGTGTTTGAAGATTGGACGAGTGAGAAGGCGGATTTGCTTGAGCGACCAGAGCTCAATTTTGAAACGGAAGCCATAGTGGCGGCTGGTCGGGTCTGTGGTGAGTTGTCGCTCTGGATCTCATGCCATTTCCTTCATCACCGCAAAGGCTAACTCTCAGTGCGCCAGACACTCCAGATCAGCACTCGGACATTGCTGCCTGTGAGCGCTCTGGATTCTGCCAGAAGGACGTGTTCGCCATGATGATATATGGCAGCAAGCCGTCGAATTTGCAACTCGAATTCATCATCCTCGAACCACCCGAGGGCTCTGACATGATGCTGAGCATTCTGATGCGTGACGACATCCGGTGGCTCACGACAGACTGGGAGGGGGATTTGAGGCGCACGCTGCGAAACACAGTCATTTCCAAGATTGGTCAATTCAACACGCGCCAGGCAATGTGGCAGACAAGAAAGCTGATCGTTGAATGGAGCCAGGGGAGCGTCCAGATGGGGTGCGAGACTGGCGGCATGGGATTTCTTGGGCAGACCGTGGCCGCTAAAGCGCTCATGGGACTCGGACGGGGAGGATGCGGAGAGTCAGAGGAATAGATCTGGTGGGCGGCGCAGAGGGAGTACAAGGCTGAGTGAAGGCTGATGCGCCATGGAGGGAGTGTTGGACGACGACGGCAGCTGACGCCGACTGGCAAATGGATGCCTTGAAGCTAAACGGGTTGGGCAGAAGCCTCTTACGGGTTCAGGGGTCCTCTTTGTCGAAAAGCTACGAGTTCTTCCACTCGTGCCGTTCCTCTCGAGGCTGTTTCGCCTCGTCTTTCTTCAAAGCGAGACGAGGCCCAGTGAATATTGCATGCTAACCTCGGAGCGGGAGCCAAGGTTCAGGCCCGCCAAATATCACACTTGACATCCTCGTGGGTGAATGGCACTGGTAGTCGGTCGGTTGTTGGGCTTAATGTCGGGGAGACTCTCACCGTGTCCCCCCCATGCCTGACAGAGTAGACGTATTTGAGCTTGCTGGGCCATAAACATGGCAGAGCTGCATACAGCTGGAAATAGGCGGCTATCTACGGCGTAAACTTTTCATCATGTGCCGGCTCGGGTAACCGAAGGCTCCATGACTGCATTAACAGCGCGAGTCAGTCGTCTTCTATTGTGACGCGCGCCCTGCCAATGGCACCCAAAAGTGGCTCCGATAGTAAAGTACAAGCTTGTCGTCCGGCTGTGGGTACCGGACTGGCCTTGTTAATAAGAGGCGCAAGATACCTACCAGTTGGGTGGTGATGAGCAGATCCTACTCCATCATTGCGGATATCCCGGAAGACGCATTTAACGGTAAGCTTGTCCATCGACTTCTATCTAGTCTTCCCTCATAAAGGACCCGCCAGGCCGCAAACGCCATCAAGGGCGTCGTTGATTCTTGCGCAGCATTGTATTAAAGAAAAACGAGCGCCGTTATCCGTCGTCGACCCTCGGATGATGCTGGACATTGCAAACCTATTGTAGGAGGGAACCATTTGTCCGGAAACCCGCGCCACCACCATTGTCGTCATTCCTTCGTGGATATCCTATAGCCCGCGGCCATCAATAGCACCACCCGGCAACTCGAGAGGACGCGTCGACTGATCTCCCGGCCCGGCCCCACCCGGCATCATCAGCCCCGGCCGTCGTCCGCTCCGTCGTCATGGAGCCCACCATGGCCGATCCCGGCGAGAAGTGCCTGGCCAAGCTTCTCTCCACCTTGACCACGACTCTGCACCCCTCCACCTACGTCTTCGCCACCCTCGGCCCCGACTCGCCTCTCCCTCCCTTGGCCGAGATCCAGCTCCTGTTCCGCGAGACAGAGGGCGTCACTCTCGTGGTCAGTCTTGACTTTGCCCAGGCGCAGAAAATGCAGTACTTCTTCCCCTGTAAGATGATTACCCTCAACGTCACCTCCAGCCTCGAGGCTGTCGGCTTCATGGCCATCATCGCGACTCGGCTCGCCGCCTGCAACATGGGCGTCAACCCTGTCAGCGGATTCTACCACGACCACCTGTTTGTGCCCACCGGCAGGGAGGCAGAGGCTGTCGAAGTGCTGGCGGCTCTGGCCGAGGAGAAGAAGAGCGAGCAGCTTAACGACGCCTAGTGGAAAGAAGGGTGCCGCAAGGAGGGTCTGCTACTTGATGAGACGGACAAGAGCATTACTTTACCATGATTACTTCCAAATATTCTCATCGAAGTTGTCGAGCAAGTATTTCTAGTAGCAAGGTGACGGGATAATTCACCTGGCACGAGGGATTCAGTGTTGTCATGCGCTTCCCGCTCTTTGAGGCGTAGCTATAAACACCTTGAAATGCTCCAAAGCTGACAACCTATCCAATGAGAGATGGGATTGATCAGGGCTTGCGGTGTGACACGCAAGGTGACGTGTGTATCGATTGAACACGACCTAGCCTACGGTGGGTGGGCTCAGAAAAAGTCTCGCTGCGGTGCCACATACAGACGCCTGGGGCGATGAGGGAAGATTTATAGAAAATACAATGCTGCGCCATATTAGCTAGTATATCGTGCAGCCGCCGGTCCCCGTCAAGGGCGGGAGAAATGCAACTCCCGTCATGAGCCAGACAGCCTGCAGTTCACGACTGCCTTGTCACCTTTGCTACCATGTCTCCCTCGAGACAGTAACGAGTCTTGGAATCATGTTGAACGGCTAAATGGTGTGCTCATTGAGAAAGACAAATCCAGCGCAAGCTTGAGGCTAATAAAGGTGATGGATGCTGTTACGTATCATCCCCCGCACAAAGAAGGGGCAGGAGAGGCTTGCCGGCCAAGCCATACCTATTTGATGGGCACCAAGGCCAAAGGCCGGCAGCTTTAGGCTATAGTGAGAGTGGGATGTGAACTCTATTGGAATTCCTCTGAGGAACCCAGTGGTGCGCAGACAACGGTTGATTGAGGTCCGTGGAAGCGCCCTCCAGGAGCCGGAGAGGAAAATATCGTCTTTCACCTCAACTTTCAGTTACATTACCTAAGAGGATGGTCTTGCCAGCTCCATCCATGGTCCAGACTTTCGTCTGACCAGGGAACACGCACAAGACGGGTGGATCCTTTACGCACCGGACCCAGATCACGCCAGGGGTCGCCGTGTTATAGCAGCCCGGACAGGAACCGAGAAAATAGCTGTGCCGGTGATAAGGATGGATTTAACTGAGATCGCCTGTCGCACGCACAAGGAGTGAAGCCCGGAACAGGGAATTAAGGGGCATCTGGTGCGACATAGTCGGGCAGGGTACAATTAGACTTAAATAAGGTTGGGAAGGGACAGAGACCGACAAAGGTCCCTCTATCGCCAATATAAATCCAAGGCCTTGGTTTTGGTATAGATCTCTAGTTGTAACGTGACCCCTGTTGATCGAGCGTCTTAGGATGTACTGTTTTGCTATGGAACCCCCCTCCTCGCTTTGGATGTTGTCCTTGGCCAGCGCTTTCGGCTCTTGGCACATTTTCTTAGGCGGAGAGAAAAGAATGGGGAATATCCAATCTCATGTCTGGAATGTTGTTATTGATGCAAAATATGAAAATCATCGTCTTGACGCACGCACTATAGACGCCGAGGAAATGATATACTGATCTATCCGAGCGGCTTATTGCAGCGCTTGTCAGGACATATAGCTACTTACAAGCAGGGAGAATTATAGGATCCAGTTATGTTAATATTCAGACATAGTGTAGCGATTCATGGTGCTTGGACCAGGGGCTTTCTTGCCGAGCTCGATATAGGCAGGTAGATGAGATCACAAGCTGGAAGGATGCCCTATACATGTAAAAGAGCCATGGCATTCTCTCTTTCCGGGAATATTCTGGACTCAACAGATTCATCATACTCAGACTTGTCCATTAACGTCTCCCACGCCCTTGACTCTTGTACATCCACTTGTAGAGTCTGCGCCATGCTGTATACCTACATATTACCGCTTCTTGAGTTGTCGGTGATTTGCCATGCGACCACCAGCATCCAGGTACAGGAGGCGGATAGTGCCAAGTCGTTTTGCGGTTCAAAACACCCGGAAGACAACTTGCGACTCCAAAACAGACCTGGCTTCGAAGCCGGGACCTTGGCCCGGCGCGGCGATTCGGGCCTCGACGGGTCGAGTTTCAAGGATGACGGGAGTCCAATCTACATCGATACATATGTCACTGTTGTAGCTACCGGGCATGACGTCGAGCATGGATACGTTACCGTATGCTCTGGTGTCTCACAACACGATACATGACTGACGCTGGATTAGCAAGAGAACGTTGATAAGCAGCTCGGGGTGTTAAACGAGGCTTTCCGTGGAGCAGACATCTCCTTCAAGCACATGGAAACTAAATGGTACAGCGAACCAGTATGGTGGACCAGCGATGATCGTGATTTGGATCAAAAAAAGAGACTGATGAGAGCGATGCTCCACCGAGGCAATTATAAAACGCTCAATCTGATCTACATAACAGAAATGAGCCCAGCCGGTTTAATCCTCGGGGACAGCTACCCCCCAGAGAAACTCGCCCAAGATGATGAGCCATACTATACTGATGGTTGCATGATATCCTCAGACCAGGCACCTAACGTTGCAGAAGACACAAACATGTCTGGTTACACTACCATTCACCAGGTTGGCGAGTGGCTCGGCATCCACCACCTTGACAAGGAAACCTGTGACAATCACGACGAGGAGTACTGCCCCGGCGGTGATCCATGGACAAACTACATGTTTGCCTGGAAGAGGTAGGCGTCAGCTCGTTCACGTTGTCTATTGAATCTGGCAAGCTAATAGAGGGTCCATTAGTGATCGCGCGCGTGAGTTCGCTCCTGCCCAGCTGCGGGAAGCAAGGAAGTCATGGTTCGAATACCGCGCCCAACCAGTTCCAATCGTCAATGGCAGAAGCAAAATACTCTCAAAAATTACATGGGAGCATAAAACCTAGAGTAGAACCGCTATATTAGCGTCTATCTAGCACGTAATATACGCGATATATTATATCTGTTATTTCCTTATATATAGTAGTCCTATATTTAGTATTATATAAGGCTTTAACCCTATACTAGATACTTATATAAAGCTTAGTAAAGTAATAATAAGGGTATTTACCCTTAGTAATAGTCTAGGTATTAGCCTAGATCCTAGCCGTTAAATATATAGAGTAGGATAGGCTATATATATAAGTACGTATTTTATAGCGGTGGGCGTAATATATAATATAGTTATATGCTTTATAGCTTATTATTATTATATAATAAAAAACACTTTTAATATATCCCTCTACTTACCCTATAATAGTAATTAAGTAATTTTAGGTATATACTTATATTATAATATAGGTATTATTATTATTAAGATTATACTAGTAACCTATCTAGAGGTATCTAGAACTTCGGCGTTAAATAGGAGGGAAAAACTAAAGTACCTAAAGGAAAACCCTCCCCTCTTTTTATAGCTAGTCCGCCCTTATACCGGGTCGCGGTTATAATATATAGGAATCTTAATCTTAGGTATCGTTATAGTTAGTCGGAATCGTATTAGCCCCGCTATAAAGTAACCTTAGAAAGTAACTCCTTTATATACGCGGGGTATATAGCGTTAATCGGTAGTATAAGTGTTTTTAGTTAATAGTTAATTATATAATTATCTTTAACCTTATCCTATAACGATATCTTCTTAGGCTCTGCCTTATTTTTCCCCTATAAGGCTTAGCAGGCTAATTTTTATTAATACCGGCCTTTAGCTAGGCCGGTAGTTAGGTTATTATACCGGCTTCGCGCTATACTTATTAAGTTACTGGTATCGGCCCTAGGTTTTTATTTTCCTAGTTAGGGGGCCCGGACTAAGGTTAGGGGGAGGTCCTAACGAATTCGTCGCTAGGTCTAGGTAGGCGAGGTCTAGACCGGCCTACTTATAGCGGGGCTAGACTAAGTCAGCCTACCTAAAGTCCGGCATACCCTAATACTAGCACTCTCTATAATACTATCGCATCGTTAAATATATTATATTGCAACCGCGTTTTCTCGTATATCTCTTACCCTATAATTATAAAATAAATACTATTTATATTAGCAATGCCTCGGCTTTCTAAGTATACTAGAAACCAGCTCTAAGAAGCACTTAAAGCTATTAAAAACGGGATACCTTAGCTTTATACTAGTTAAAAGTAAGGTATTCTAAGAGGGACCCTCTATATATATCTTTAAGGGGCTCTGCCTATTAAGGAGGTAAAAGAGGCATATTAGAGGCTTAGCTAAGAGTAGGAAAAACACCTTACTAACTAGGTTCTTACCTAGGCCGCCCTTAGGCTGCCTTTAACGTATTATTAGGTTAAGGAATTTACCGGCCGTATCGTTAAGGCCGGCTGCGATACCTATCCGCTTAAGAAGTAGTAGATTTCGGGCTTTTTAGCCCGGAACCTAGAGATTAGTACTATTAAAGGTAGATCGCTCGATTCTACTCGCGTTAACGGCGCCTCTATAGCCTATATCAAGGAATAGTTCTAATTGCTTAAGCTGCCGGCTATATAGGTAATCCTACTAGAGTCCTACTTTAATATAGACGAAATAGGTATCCTAAGGGCCTTAGCTTTAATAGTCTAGTACTAAGGAGCTTAGAGAAGTAAGAGACTCTTAAAAAGTAGCTAAGATCGCGTTATTAGACTATAATAGTTAAATGCGTCTTTATTATAGGCTAGGCCTTAACTCCCTTTATAATTTTTAAGGGTTAAGACCTTTAATACTAATAGTTCCCTAACGAACTTAATTTTCTATAAGATTAGGACTTTATTGCCTCCTTAAAGGGCTAGATAAGTAATACTATTACTATTTAGTAGCTAAAGTAGGTTTTTATGCCTTAAATAAGGCACTATAAGTAGGGCAATACTCTTCTTATTATTAACGGCTATAGGAGTTATTAAACTAATAATTTTATATATAAATGCTTTTAAAATAGTATATATCTCCTTTTCCTACTATTATACTCCTTATATATCCTCTAACTACTCGATATCTTAGTTTTCTTACCTATTAAGGCCGTATACCGACGTTAACTTAAGAAAATCGTATCTTTCGACGATATAGCGCTAATTAGTAAGGCTAACTTCCTTTATATTTACTATAAAGCCCGGTAAGCTAGCCTAACTAAAAAGAATATTAAGGGAGGTTAGCGCGGGTTTAGTTTATAGCTAATTAATATAGTAAAGCCCTTATTAAGCTACTTTATTTTACTATAGCCGTTAACGCCGTTAACGCTATTAAAAAGGAAGAATATTAGCTCCTTAGCTAATAACGATGCCCTTAAAACGCTTAAACGATTATAAGAAGTTCGGCGCCTTATTATAGGGCTAGAAAATCGCGGTTAAGTTAACTATATAATTAGACTACTCTTTAGTAAAGTTAGCCGCGCCCTTAGCAATTAAAATTAGCAGCTTATAGCTGCCTAGCTTTAAATATAATAGCTTAAGTATTAATTATATCGTCTATAGCCTCGAAAATAGAAAAAGGTTCTATAGGATCCTAATAGCCGGTTCGTACGGATTAATTAAGTTATTAAGACGATATAGTAGCTCGAGCGTATCCTTAAGCTAGCTACTATTACCGCAGCTAATTAGGACGTAGATTTTAAAGCTCTATATAGTAGCTAGCAGCTTAAATAGCTAGAAAACACTATAATTAACTATCGTAACGTTAAAATATAGCTTTAATTACTATTAAAATATACCTGCCTTAGTATTATAGAAAGTACTAGTATTAGGGTATACCGGACTTTAAGTAGGCTAACTTACTAGTATATTTATAAGCGCTTCTAAAAGCGCTAATTAGCTAATTAATAAGTAGGTTAGCGTAGTCTATTAGTCTAACTAAAAATTAATCGTGCCCTTAGTATTATAGAGTAAGTAAAGGTATATATATAGGTACTATCTATAGGATAATATTAATAAGCTATATAGAGCTCTTTTATACGTCGCTAGCCTATATATATATATATAGGATCCGGCCCTCTATATATAACTATATAGCTTAGGCTATAGCCTAAGCCTATAACCTATAATAGTTAAAGACTCTTATATAATTATAAAAAGATATAAGTAATAAGCGTAGAATCGGGTAATCGATAACGTAAGCGGAAAGATCGGTCGACGGAGTATAAGGTAGAATTTCGTCCGGAATTTAAAACGAGTATATAAGGGGCTAAATAATATATTAAAAGAATAGCGTTATAAAGGATACTTATAAACTTACTTATTCTATCTACTACTCCTAGGGAAATCCTTTGTCTTTTATAGACTATTGCTCGCCTACTAGTAGACTAATTAGTTAGCTTTCTAGCATATTCTATAGTGCTTAAAAAGCTCTATCTATAGTATGTCTTCCTAACCTAGTAGGTAGTCTAATTATAACGTAATAGTTAACGTAAGACTATAGGTTCTAGTATAAGTAGTAGATTTAACTAGAATATTCTATGCCCTACCTATTCTCGTATCGCGGATATCTTCGGAACCGCTAGGCTAAAATAGGCAATAGGGTATCCGTTCTACTCGTAATTAACTTATGCATTTTATGCATATTTTATTTTATTAGGATAGGCTTATCTTAACCCGCTTTTCCTAAAGGAAGGTATAGATATCTAGTAGAGGTCTTTTATTAAGCACTAGTCCCTTAGTACGGGGCTAGTACGTTAACCTTACCGTCTACTTAGATCCGGTATAGGTCTAACGGGTAATTAAATAGACTAGCTACCGTATATAATTAAACGTATTATATAGACTAGCTACCGTATATTATTACGCGCGTTAAATATAGACTAGCTACCGGTCTTATAAGTTAAAGTAAGAGTAGTAATAACTATCTATATTTTTCTCTACCTACCTAAGATCTAGCGGGTTCTTTATCTTCTATATATACTATAGTAAGCGTAAGACCTTACTTAAGGCTTTAACTAAGTAATATCTTAACCTTATAATTATATAATAGTAGTACGGTATATTAGCGATATTTCCTAGTATTTTCCTTAGGTAAGTATAGGTATTTCTCTATAATTTCCCCGCTATATTCTTATAGTAACTTCTTAAGGAAATATCGGTATAATCCTTAAGGAGCTATTATTACTTAGGAAATTATAGTATACTCCCTATATAATATATCCCTAAGGGAAATCTCTATAAAATATCTATATAATCCGCTCGGTTATTATTTCTAGGATTTCTAGGTAATTTCCTAGAGTTTACCTAGTAGCTTTTAGGTTCCTTCTTCCGCGGGGAGCCTTAAGGAGTTAAGGGTAACTTCCTTAAGAGAGGCCGATATCGTTATAGGTACCTAGATTATCGACTATAAGGTATCCTATAATAAATACTTAGGGCAAAAGAATTAACTAATATCCTTATTAGTCTCTTATAGTATTTAAGTAGGAGTTACGTTAATAGGGAATTATAGTAAAGTTATATAGATTTCTAAGGTTAGTATAAGGAATAACTTATATCTTATCTAAGACGTAACTTAGTACGACTAATACTAGGGGCATAAGGCGGCTAAGCCGGGAGTAAAATACTACTAAAACTAAGGGCGCTAAGTAGCTAAGCTAGGGTAATAAACGAGTAAGGCTAGGGGCATAGTATAACTAAGCTAGGGAAAACTAATTATAATTAAGGGCGCTCTATAGCTAAGCTAGTAGAAAGAAAAAAATAAATAGGACTAGGGATATAACGAGGCTAAACCGGTAACCGACCGTCTTACGCCGTAGGGGTAAGGGTAAGGCGGGGAATCTCCTCCTTAGCTTCCTCTTTTATTAGATCCTTAGGGCTTACTAGTACGTTATCTAGGGTATCCTATATATCGGAGGCTCTATAAATAGGCACGCTATAGGCGTTATTCGGGGCCGGTTCTACTAAGAGTATTATAGCTAGTCTATCGCGAGAGGCTAGAACCTAGTTATAGATTACTACTACTAGTACTTATATAGTCGGGCCTAGGTTCTAGAACCTACTTAGGTACGCGTTAGTAAACTTTTAGTTTAATAAGTTAAAATAGGCTATTATATTAGCTATATAGGGGCGGGCCGCTACTAGCGTATAAAGGGGGCTAATATAGGCTACTCTTTAGTATACCGCGGCGAGCTTAGGCGAGTTATTTAAGAGGTAAGCGGCGAAAGTAAACCGATAAACGAAGCTAGTAGGCACTCTAGTAAGAGCGGCGTACTAGCTAAGTAAGAGGTCGGCGTTAGCCTCTTTATAAATAGCGGCGAATAGATTTACTTAAATTATAGCCGCGTTTAGGGCTCCGTAGACTAGCGCTTTTAACCTAAAGTAAATAATACCTATATAGCCGTCTATATTAGCTAGGTTATTATAATATACTACGAAAGGTATAATAGGGAATAGTCTAGGTTTTCTATAGCTTAGAACCTAGAAGGGGTTAAGCTTCTATTAGACCGGTATTAAGGCCTATTCCTCGGCGAATAGGTTAGCCCGTTTAAAGGAAGTAAAAGGTAGGGCCGCGGCGGTAGCGAGTAAGCGTTTAGTAAATAGGTTCCCTAATAGCTTATTAAAGGTAAGGTCTACTATACTAGATCCTCTAGGTTTATCTAGGGTACGCTTAAGGCTCTCCCTAAACTTATAGGTTCCCGGTATCTATCTATAGTCCTTTTTAAAACGCCGAAAGGAACTTAGGGTCTTAGTTAGAAATAATCTAAGCGGGAATCCCTTAGTTATAGCGTATTAACTTAGTAAATAGTACCTTAGCTTAGTCCTCCGCGGTAAACTAATTATAGCCTAAGATAAGGAGCCTTATTTTCGAGAACTTATTAGTTATTATTAGTAGTATATTATAGTAGACCTTAAAAGGTAGCGTCTATAGAGTTTAGTCTGCGGGGATATTTAAGAGCCTTATTATAAAATCTATAGTAATTATATAAAAAGGTAAGGCTAAGGAAGTAATTAGAACTAACTCGCTAAGGGCCTTTAACTAGTCGGTTTAGTTCCTATAGTAAGCGTTATACTTATCGATAAAGCTATCGATAAGTTTCTTAAGGCTAGTAATAGCGAATATAGAGGATAATTCCTCTTATATCCTTTACCGTCTAAGGTAAAATTTATACGCGTAGTTATTAGCAATAATTTCCTTAGTATAAGTAGTAGGGATATATAGCTAGTAACGACCTTTAGACTTAACTAAGTAAAGTAACCTATTCCGCTAAATAAATAAGAAACTAACCTAGGACTTATCGCTTTTAAGCTTATTAAGGTATATAAGCAAAAGCGGAATTTTAGGAAATTAAGGAATTATATACGACTATATAATAAAGGGGAAGAAGGAGTATAAGGTAGGATTTTTAATAGAATTTATTAGTAATATATTAGTATATAGAAGAGGTATTAAAGTTAATAATTCTCTCTCTATCTACTAGCGGACATACTATCTTATATAGACAATTATAGCTAAACGGAAGAACCTTTTAGGACTAGATTTAGGCTGCCGTATAGCCCTAAGACTAAGGAATTCCGTGATACCTCGAGTAAATCTAGAAGTGTCTTAGTTCTACTAATATTCGTGTTTAAAGGAGGTTGGTCGTGCCGGTATTCTTAAGAGGTCTTAGCTAGCATTCTAAGCTAGCTCTATTCCTTTAATTCCTAATTATACGATAACCGGCAACCCGTTTAATATATAATACCATGTAAAATAACGAGCGATTCTTACTCTATAGGATAGGATTTTATCTATAGTTAATATACTACTTATTAGCTTATATAATCGGGAGAGTATATTATAGCTACTTTATTTATAGTAGGAACACCGTTCCTTATAGCCTCCCTTAAAGAGTAGATTTATATACTCTTTACTAATTTATTTATAGTAGTATATATATAGGATAAAAACCTAATTTTAGGAAAACTATTCTTATACCTTAATAGGATATATAAAAACCTATTCTTTCTTAGGAAAAATAAATCTTTAGGTATATACTAATAGAAAAACCTATAGTAGGAAAAATCTATAGTTATAATAATTATTTATAGGATAACCTTATATAAGGTAAAACCTATTATTGCTAGGAAAATCTTAATAGATAAAAACCTAGTAAATATTTCTCTAGGAAACCTAATAAGGAAAAACCTAGTAGGGGAAAGATATAGGAAGTATAATAAATATCTAAAAACCCCTTTTAATTGCTTAGGAACTTATACTAAGGATAGACTGTCTCTAAATTTATAGAGTAATCTAGGTCTTAATTCCTTTATAAATATATTAGCTATATTATCTTTTAATTTAATATAAAAAAATCTAATTTCCCTTTCTCTTATACTAGTTCTAGTATAGTAATAAGCTAATCTTATATACTTAGACCTTTTATAAAATTCCGGATTTTCTACTAATTTAATAGTAGTAGTATTATCCGTTAAAATAGGAGGTATAGTATTAAGAATCTTAATAGATAGATCCTTAGTAATATTTTTAAAAAGTATATTTAAATAAATAGCTTCTTTATTTGCCTCCCTAAGGCTAATATACTTTACTTCGTAGGTAGAAAGAGCAACGGCTTTCTACTTAAAGTAAGCCTAGCTTATTATATTATTATATATATAAAAATAGTAACCGGAAAAATATTTTCCGTCCGTTAAATCCGACGCCTAGCTAGAGTCGGTAAAACCCTTTATATATAGATAGGTAAAAGGGATATTATAATTATATATAATCTTTAGGCTAGGGAGTTTATTTAAATATTTCTAAATTATATTTAAAGCCTTAAAATATATTTAGTTAGGCTTAGCTATAAATCTAGTATAGGAGATTATAGAATATAAGATATCTAGCCTAGTAAATAAGGCTAAGTATAATAGAGACCCTATTTCTTTTTAAAATTATAATATATCTTCCTTAAAAGGTAATTCCTTTGCTTTTATAAGCTTAAAGCCTACTATAGCGGGTAAATTTAAAGTTCTTAAACCTTCTTTATTAAATTCCTTTAATTTATTTAAGGTATAATCTTCTTAGGATATATATAGCTCTTTATTTTCTCGGTTTATTATAATATTTAGACTTAAGAAGTCTTTTATATCTCCTAAGATAGTAAAATCTAGGAATTTAAATAGTTCTTTAAATAATCTTTCTTCTATTATAGATTTAGAGGGCCCTATTATAAGAAAGTCATTAATATAAATTACTAAGGCTATACTATAGTCCTTATTTATAAACACTCCCTTATTTATTAAAAGAGGAAGAAATCTAAGTTTATTTAGTATAATTTTTAAATAATTATACTAGAGCTTAAGACTTTATTTTAGGCTATATAATACTTTCTTTAGCTTTGCTTTAATTTAACCGGTTTTATATAGGTCTAGGAGTTTAGTTAATTTAATTCCTTTAGCTCTATAAGCTAATCTATATTTTAAATAATATTCTTTAAGAACGTATTCTTCGTAGCCTATAGGAAGATCGATATATACTTCGCTATCTCTATTAGTATATACGAAGGCATTTATTATATCTATCTATAAAGCTTTAAATTCGTAGATAATAGCTAAAATAAGTAGAATTCTAATAGATTTAGGTCTAGCTATAGTTAAAAAGGTATCTAGGAAATCTAAGCTATAGATCTACTTAAATCCTTATATTACGAAACGGGCTTTATATTTTATTATATTATTTTAACTATCCTTCTTAATAGTATAGACCTAGCGGCCTCCTATAGCTTCCTTATCCTTAAGGAGGTAGGAAAATTCCTATATTTTATATTTAATTAGCTAGATTATCTCCTTAACTATAGCTTATTTCTAAAATACTACTTTAGGACTATTTATTGCCTATTTATAGGTCTTTAGGATTTTTAGATACTAATTTTCTATACTTACTAGAATTAACTCTTTATAATTATAGTTTAGAAATAAATTAACGTTAAGGTATTAATATAGTTAGAATTAAACCCTTCTAGCTTCTTAGGTAATTCTACTACTATTTTACTAATAGTAAGAATAGGATCGCTATTTAGAGACTTTTCTTTTATAAAGGGTAAGGGACTTTTATTTCTAGGTTCTTTAGTAGCTTCCTCTATAAGGATATAGCTTTCTAGCTTATCTTTATTTAGAATATAATTAATATTAAAGGTATTCTTATTATTAGAACTTTCTAGATTTTCTATAAATTTATTTTCTAGTATAGTTATATCTTTAAAAATAGTAATCTTTCTCTTAGAAAAATCTTAGATTTTATATATATTTTCTAAATAGCTTACTATTATTCCCTTAAAAGCTTTATTATCTAGCTTATCTTTAAGGTCTTTATTCTTATAATATATAAGGCTTCCGAAGGTCTTAATTTTATTTAAGGTCTTAAAAGGTAGTATTATATTATCCCTCTTTTCTATAGGACTTTTAAATCCTATTATAGAATAAAGTAATCTATTATATAAATAGGTAGCTATTAAAATAGCTTCTCCTTATAGGTATTTAGGAAGCCTAGTAGTAAATAAAAGAGCTCTTACTTTTTCTAATATAGTACGATTTATTCTTTCTATTCTACTATTAGATTCTAGCGTCCTAAGAGGACTAAAATTAAAGGTAATTCCTTCTTTTTCGTAGTAAAGCTTTATTTTATATATAAATTCTTTAGTATTAATAGAAAATGCTTCTTTAATCCTAGTATTTTTAGGGTTATTTTCTACCCTATTTTTAAATTCTAGGAACCTATCTAAAGCTTCCCCTTTTCTTTAAAGAAGGTATATTTCTAGATATTAAGTTCCTACGTTTAGGAAAGAAATATAATAGTAATATTTATCATAAGTAGGCACTTTAATTAGCCCTTAAATATCTAATACTATTTTTTCTAAATAGGTATAAGATTTATACGAAGATTGTTTATTAACCTTATTTATTACTTTAGCTCTAATATATATTTCGTATTATCTTATTTTATTTTCCTATTTTAAAGGCATTTTTATATCCTTATTATATCTTTTTAATATTTCTAAAATAGCCCTACTATTTATATGCCTTAAGCGTAAGTACTAAGTATAAAAATTAATATCCTTTACCTTTAAAGACGTAATAAGGATTAATTAGCTTTTTAATAAAGGTTCTATAGGAATATAATATAATTTATTTCTAAGAAATCCTTTAGTAAAGACCTTATCTTTATTATCTAATAAAAGAACTTTATTTCCTCTTATTAAGGCATAGGTATTATTAAAATAAGATTAGGATAGTATATTTACCCTTAATTTAGGTATATAAAAGTAGTCGTAAAGGATATACCTTTTACTACTATATAAGAACTTAAATACTAAGTCCCCCTTTCCTTTTACTAATATAAAGGAAGCTTTTCCCTAGTAAACTTTAAACTTAATTTCTTTATAGTTAATAAGGAAATTCTTATTTAATACTATATATACCTAGTAGCTCCGGTATTATAAATAAAATTAAAGATCCTTTTATTCTTATAACTAGGAAATCCTCCTTCTCTTACCTTTAAGACTAATTCCTTTATTCTAGGAATTAAGGCTTTTCGAGGTCCTAAAAGAGAGTCTTATTAGCTTTTACTATAAGGGTATTTATAGAAGTTAAAATTACCTCTAAATCCTTAAACGTTTATATAGGGGTCGGAGCCTTAAAGAGGTTTATAAGGTCGATATCTAGGTCTATATTTTCTTATAAAGCTATATTTAAGACTTTATTACTATCGTCTAAATTAGACTCTAGCTTTATAATTCGAGCCTTCCTTCTTTTATTAAAAGTAGAAATACTACTAAAAGGGGATTTCTTCCTAGAAAAAGAAAAAGAAAAAGAATATTTTCTCTTCTTAGAAATTTAAGTCCTATTATCCTTTTTTCATTTATTTAAAACCTAATAAGTAGGAGCCTTATTCGGATATAATTTATAGTAATTTACTATAAAATGCCCTAGTTTTTTATATTCCTTATAATAAGGAGTATCTATAAAATTTCTATAGGATTTCTAAGGCTTCCTTTATATTAAGAAGGCTTTCTTTAAAGATTCGTCTATATCCTTTATTCTTCTAGCTTTATCTAAAAGACTAGCTATTAGGGTTTCGAGGGTAAACGCTATAGAATTATACCTAAGGCTCTACGTAATATTTATATTATAGCTTCTAAATTCCTTATTAAGGCAATTAAGAATCTATGCTATAAGAATAACTTCTAGAATTTCTATATTATAGGATTTTAAATCCTTATAAATTTCCTTCTCCTTATAAAGGTATTTCTTTAAATTAAAGTCTAAGGGACTAAGATTAAAGAGCTACTTAATAAGTAGATAATTCGACGAAAAGTTCGATAGATTATATAGCTTTTTAAGCTTATCCTACGCTTCTTTAGTATTTTTTAGATGCTAAATTTATATTAAGGGACTATCTTTAACTTAAAGGAATATTATAGATAAAGCTTCTTTAGTCTATATATAATTTACTTACTCTAAAGTAGAAATAAGCTTTTCTTTTATAAAGATAGCTTCTATCCTTATAGTCTATAAGGTATAATTTAAATTTCCCTTAAGTCTAGTAAATTTATATTCTTTCTATCTACCTATTTTATATAAATTTAGTATTATTTCGTTTATAGGGATTAAGAAGTCTAAATAAGAGTTTAAGAGCGTAGGAAGGTAAAAGAAGTTAAGGGGAATTCCGAAAGGAATTTTAATTAGGTATTTTAATAAGGAACTTTAAATATATAAGTTAACTTCCTAGCTTAAAAGGAGTAAGCTAGGCTTATAACCTCTTAAGGTATATAAATAAAAGTAGAATTTTAGGAACTTAAGGAATTATATAAGACTAAGTAATAAAGGGGAAGAAGGAGTATAAAGTAGGATATTTAATAGAATTTATTAGTTATATATTAGTATATAGAAGAGGTATTAAAGTTAATAACTATATCTCTATTTACTAGCGGACATACTATCTTATATAGATAATTATAGCTAAACGGAAGAACCTTTTAAGACTATATTTAAGCTACTATATAGCCCTAAGACTAAGGAGTTCTATAATACCTTAAGTCTATTTAGAAGTATCTTAGTTCTTGTCTGATCATTTGTACGATAGAGCGCACATCGCAGGAGGGTATCACGTGCGTCAGCAGGGAACAACGTTTACCCGACACGCGCACAACCTATCAAACCTCACAGCATGGTCTAGATAGCGAAGAATAACAAGAACAACACGATCATCGATCAAAGACCCAACTGAGCCTCAGTTAACCTATCCACACTGATCAGTTGTTACCTTGGCTGGTAACCTCAGAGCAGCAAGATAGAAGAGACTTCCTCAACGCATCCTCACGATCTGTGGCGCTCTGCGAAGAAAGAAGTGCTACAACGCGAGACTGACTACGAAGACCCGACCGGCGCCCACTCTATTCAGTCAACCGTGCCTAGTTGTTTGCCTCAGCCGCTGACCTCTTAGGCGTGCCCTATCGCACATACAAATCTCTGGTATCCCGCTTGATTATCAGCTTCATTGATCACTCGATCAATTTGACCTCTCTTGACACCTTCTTGCCCTATTCCTCGCAGATTTTCCTGTCAAGCCCCATCCGACATCATGAGCAGCAGCGCAAGCGGCACCAGCGCGAACGCGAACGCACCGGCGCTCGACATCAACGAATTCCTCGATATTGCTGAATTCAACCGTGGCCTCGCCACAATCTTCAACATGGACCTCTTCAACACCCCAGTCAACGAGACTTCCGATGAGATCCACTATAATACCTTCGTTCTCGCCCGCATCGTTGATTATAAAGTCTCCTCAACATGTCAAGGTCTCGAGCTGCTTGGATCATTCCAAGAAGACTTTGAGGATTGGGAGGAAGACGACTTCAAGAAGGTCGATCCAAGGGTCCGTAAGGTCCTACGGAATACCCTAAGGTTCAGAGGAATCTATACAGGAAAGCTGAACGCAAAGATCACGGCATTCCTAGTAAATCTGAAGAACCGTGACCGACTTCCTGAGTGGGATGAAGACGATCTTCGTGATGCCATCTTATACGAGAAAACGGCCGCCTACCGACGCCAACAAGAACTCCTCAGACGATCGCCATCGCTAGCAACAACCCCAGCACCAACCCCAGCACCAACCCCAGCACCAGTCACTCCCGATCTAAACCTCCCGCAAGACCCCCCCCCAATGACCAATCCCTACCCCTGTCACGATCGAATCAACAGCAGCAGGAACTTATGATCAGACCAGCTATCGACCGCGAAGCTTACCGGACCGTGCCCCCCAGTCCAGGTCCCCAATGAAGACCTCGATCCTGCCATCGCCAACCAGTTTTCTAAGCTATGGGATCGAAAGCTCAACTATTCAGGTGACGCCTACGATATCCTAGATGATAAGATCCGTTACTTTCTCGATGCCTGCCTCACAGCTAGCATCAAACCGTCACAATTCCACGCTTTGTTCTCAAATATCCTCACGAAGAGAGCAAAGAACTTCTTCGTGCATCAAGTCAGCCGCGATTCAACGTTCGCGGAGATGTATCAGAAGATGAAGCAGCACTTTGATACGGAAGTCAATAGGCAACAGTATCACACTGACTGGACCTCGATCAATTTCACACAGCTTCGGAAGGAATCTCCGAGAAGCCTCTCTGTGAAATCCTCCAGGCTCTTCTTGACAAATTGCAGCTATGCCAGAGAGCTCTTGGGAATAGCTATGGCGGCGAAGACCAGCTAATTTCAACGACAATTCGAGCATGCCGTGGCGTGCCTGAATTAGAATTCGCCCTCTTCGTGCCGGCTAAGACCTTCGAGGGACTATCTTCACAGCTAAGATCGTCACTCACAACCGTCAGCCAAAGACAGCCCGGACAGCCCAGTCAATATCTTCAAGATCAAGACCAATTCTTTACTGACCGCCGCTATCAGCACCCGCTGACAAAGGAAGAAGTGGACGAAGCGCTGCTACGTCTGCGGCAAAGAAGGCTGTTTTTCAACGAAGCATCCGGATGACGAGAGAAAGAGGGCCAAGGAAAGATATCTTCGAGAACGAGGATTTCACGGCCAGAAGTCATCTTCCGTCCATTTACTACGTTCCTTGCCGATTACGAAGGGGACCCAGATGAAGATCAGACCTCTGATTCTGCTGACGATGACTCTGACGATCAAAGCGATAGCTTCTTTGCAGCTGCCTTCCTATCTAATAGAGCTTTCGCCACCGCATTCACACCGTCGAGGGAGAATCGATATGCGAGGAATCACAGCATTTCTTGCTCGATCGCTACAACCGGACCTCTTCCAAGGGATCCTGCCTGACACGGGTGCAGCGAAGATATCTACAGCTGGGATCGACCAATTCCGCGCGCTCCAACGAGAGATGCCGACGGTCCAGCTACGGAAGAATGCGACGATCGCAACGGTCAGATTCGGTGGAAACGAGCCGACGAACACGATCGGGATCACAACAGTCATTACCCCGATTGGAGAAGTCGTTTTCCACGTTATCAATATGTCAACGCCCTTCTTGCTATGCCTCAAGGATATGGACCGTCTCGGTGCCTATCTCAACAACGTCACGAACGAATTGATCTGCGGCGATAAGAGGATTCCGATCGTACGCAAATGGGGTCATCCGTGGTTCTTCCTACGGAAGGATGAAGCCGCTATTGCCTTCCTATCCGAAGCCGAGCTTCGGCGCCTACACACTCGCTTTGGCCACCCGTCAGTACACAAGCTACATAAGCTACTGACAAGCGCTGGGCATGATGTTGAATTCGAAGCAATCGCGATGATTCGAAAATTCTGTCATTTTGCCAGATCAAGGCAGACGCACCGCGCAGGTTCAAATTCACGTTAAAGGATAACTGCGATTTCAACTACGAATTGATCGTCGATGTAATGCATCTTGACAGCCGGCCAGTCCTTCATGCCGTTGACCTAGCAACCTCTTTCCAAGCCGGACGATTTCTTCAGAATATATCGGCTAAAGAGACGTGGAAGCACTCAAATTGTGTTGGATTGACACATACCTAGGCCCTCCAGATGTTATCACGCACGACGCTGGTACGAATTTTGCCTCCTCTGAGTTCCAAGCAGAAGCGAAGCTGCTAGGAATAACCTGTCACCGCGCCCGTCGAAGCCCACTGGTCAATTGGCAAGGTGAGAGATATCACGCCCCGATTCGAAGGGCATACGAGATCTTGAAAGCCGAGCTAAAAACAGCATCAGCTGAGTCGTTGCTTCAAATGGCCTTCAAATCCGTCAATGATACCGCCGGACCTGACGGTCTAGTGCCCACACTACTAGTCTTTGGTGCCTACCCTCGGATAACGATGGATTCGCCGCCTTCTGCTTCCGCGATCACACGCGAAAGCCGTGACGAAAGCTATGGCAGAGCTACGCAAGCTTGTAGCTAAAAGGAAGGTCAATGACGCCCTCAATGCCCGTAATGGGCCCAACACGATTGAGAAGATGCCACTATCATTGCCGCTTGGTAGTGAAGTTCGAGTATTTCGTGAGAAAGGAGGATGGAAAGGCCCATACAAGGTCCTAGCTGTGACAGACACAGAGGTCACAGTTGAGCTAGACAACGGGCCAGCTAAATTTCGCAGCACGGCTGTCCAGCCCTACTTTCGCCACCCGGATTCGCAGCAGCAACGAAGTCACGATGTTCTACAGCAGCCACACGCTGACAATCAGACTGCTGACAATCAGGCTGATAGCATCAACGTTGAGACCGAAGTGCCTAAGCCATTCGAATATCCCGAGCCGGAGAGACCACGCAGACGCGGCAGACCAAGAAAAGTCCTCGAGATCAGCAGCAATACGATACCTTCGTTCCTTCTAGTTATTTCCTTAGTCTTAGCCCTTTTCGTTACCTCGATCTCAATTTTCACCCGCTAATATGTTTCTATCGCATAAGGAGTGCGCCGCCCTCGACCTTGCCGTAAAGTTACGTGCAGAGAAGAAAATCACTACCGCCGGACGACCGTTTGAAGCCTCTGATGACCTCGAAATCACGAACCTGCTAGGCGCAGGCGTCATCGTGCCCGAACGATACGATATGAATAAGCATGGAAAACACAGGCTATTCAAGTCACGAATGGTCCGGGAGGTCAAAGGCAAGAACACTGCTACACCGTACGAGAAGTCTCGTCTTGTGGTACAAGGATATGGTGACGACGAGAAGCGTGAGATCCTCACGCAGGCTCCAACAATCTCCCGTCCTGCCCAGCGGGTAGTACTCGCTCTTTCCCTTTCCTTTGCTCTTTGAAGATGTCTCTTGCTATCCGAGACATTACGATGGCCTATACGCAGGCATCGACCACTTTGAATCGCACTATCCTCATCTCTTTGCCACACGAATTAAAAGAGAGATACCCAGGGGGAACCATCCTTCGTGTGGTCAAGCCATTGTACGGAATCGCTGAAGCAGGCGCTCATTGGTTCAATACGTATCATGAGCATCACCGCATCAAGCTACAGATGGAGCCGTCAACGTTTGATCCATGTTTAATGATAACGACCGCAGAGATCAACGTCACGACCGCAGAGACCAACGCGGATACCGCACTTCAGGTTAATGCCTTCGGCGTTGCCGCGCTTCAGACTGATGATACGTTATTGGTAGGCACAACAACATTCCTGCAACGTGAAGACCGCGAGCTATGCTTCCAAGCCAAGCCAAAGAAGACCCTACGAGAAGGCGATACCTGTGATTTCAACGGCAGCCTCATTGCTCTAGAGAAGGGCTATCTTCTAGTCATGCAGAAAGGTCAGGTCAACAACCTCAAAATTATCGATCTATCCACGGAAGATCGGGCCCAACGATACGTGGAACAACGTGCCCGTGGCGCCTATATAGCCTCAATTTGTCAACCAGAGGCTAGCTTCGATTATTCAATCGCGGCACAATCACAAGATCCAACCGCGGAGGATTTTCAGGCGTTGAATAAACGGATCCAATGGCAGATCGACAATCCACAAAGAGGCCTTCGATTCGTCCCAATAGGTCTAGAAGCAGCAAAGGTCTTCGTCTTCACAGACGGATCATTCGCCAACAACAAGGACTTAAGCTCTCAGATCGGATTCGTTATAATCATTGCAACCGAGACTAAGTCAGATGAGTCATTCACGATCCACGGAAACCTGATCCATTGGAGCTCGACGAAGTGCAAGAGAGTCACCCGCAGCGTCTTGGCTTCTGAGATATATGGATTAGCTTCAGGCTTCGATTTGGCATATGTGGTTGCAGGGACGATCAACCAGATTACAAGCCGCCTTGGATTACCGCAAATCCCGCTCGTTGTGTGTACAGATTCGTACAGCCTGTACGAGTGCCTAGTGAAGCTTGGCACCACCACGGAGAAACGTCTGATGATCGATATCATGGCGTTGAGACAGGCCTACGAACAACGCGAAATCACCAACATCCGCTGGATCAACGGAGCGGATAACCCGGCCGATGCAATGACGAAGCTATCTCAAACGGGGCCTTAACCCGATTCGTTAACGACAACGAGATCACGATCCGGCTCGAAGGCTGGGTTCAAAGGAAGGAAGATATGACCGCATGATTGACGATTTTGATTTAAGCTTGCTATCGATTGTTCCTTTGTGTTGAGATACCCGTTTTTACATGTTGTTTGGGTGTTACGTTTAGTGCGTTTTGTTCGATTCTTAAAGAGATGCCAGTGTCTGATCATTTGTACGATAGAGCGCACATCGCAGGAGGGTATCACGTGCGTCAGCAGGGAACAACGTTTACCCGACACGCGCACAACCTATCAAACCTCACAGCATGGTCTAGATAGCGAAGAATAACAAGAACAACACGATCATCGATCAAAGACCCAACTGAGCCTCAGTTAACCTATCCACAGTTCTATTAATATTCGTATTTAAAGGAGGTTAGTCGTGCTAGTATTCTTAAGAGGTCTTAGCTAGTATTCTAAGCTAGCTCTATTCCTTCGATTCCCGATTATACGATAACTAGTAACCCGTTTAATATATAATAATATATAAAATAACGAGCGATTCTTACTTTATATAATAGGATTTTATCTATAATTAATATACTACTTATTAGCTTATATTATCGGGAGAGTATATTATAGCTACTTTATTTATAATAGGAAAATACTATTCCTTATATAGGTTGCCTATCCCCTCGGCCTTAAGTAGCCTCCTTTACTAAGGGGTATATAAGGTAGTATCTCCCTCTTCTTCCTTCCCTTTCTTTTCTTCCTTCTTTAACTATAGTAATAGTAGTAATAAGTAAGTTCCGCTTTACTTAAAGCATTAGTTTATTCTTAGCTATATAAGCCGCTCTATTAATATATACTTATAGTAATAGCTATAATAGTAATAATAGCCGAGATAATAATAATAATAATAATAACTTTAACTAGTAAGTTCCCTTACCTTATAAAGCGGGAGGCTATAATCTATAATACTAACTTCCGCGATAGATATATCTACTTCCCCCTCCCTTACCTCCTCCTTCTTAGAGCGTGCGGAGTCGTTTATTAACGCCGTACTAAGCACGGCCGACGACGGCTCCGCCGCTGCCGCTGCTCCTACCCGCGCCCTTACTACCGCGCCTACCGCCGCCGCTACTACCTCCGCTACGCTAGCTACCCTTACGTCGCCCTTTAAGGTAACGACGCTATCCCTACCGCTACCTATAACGCCCGGCCCCTCGGCCCCCGCCTTTATCTCCGCTACCCCTATAAGTCTATAATTAAGTAAGCGTAATAAACGTCTTTTACTAACCTCTTAAAGTATAAGCGCTAGGTCTAGGCTAGAGCCGCTTAAGCGGCCCCCTATATACGGTATATATTATAGGAGCTCTCTTACGATACTAAGTCGGGCGCCGCCGCGGCGGTAGTTATTACTAGTATACGCGTGCTAGCCGCGCCTATTAAGCGGCGCCTCTTATCTTACTCGCTATAGCGTCGGCTTAAAAGGCCGGCGCGTATAGGTAGGCATAGGGGGCTACTAAGAAGCGCCTTACTACCGCCGTAGCTACCTACCGTAACCTTTGCGCCCTAAAGCGCTAAGGGCTTATCCTTAAGTAGGTTCTTCCCCCTTTGCTCTCTTACCTCTACTACTAACTCTCCCGGTATTAGTAATACTACCTCTATCGCTTTATCGGCGGTCCCCTTAGCTATACCTACCGTAGCTACTACTACTACCCCTACCGCCGCCGCTAGAGCTAGCCGCCGCCCCTCTACCCCTAGAGCCGCCGCTGCTACCGACTAGCTTATAGGCTTAAAGGGCTAACTTAGCGTGCTAGAGAGCGCCGCCGCCGCTACTAAAGAGGAGGAGGAGGCTAATAAAGACGATAATAATAATAATAGCGAGGGCGAGGGTAATAATAAGGAATAAGCTTAGGAAGTCTAAGGGCTCTACCTTAAAATAAATACTATTTTTATCTCTATTTATACTATTATACTTATATTACTATAACTACTTACTTTACTTTACTTACTTTATAGTCTTAGCTTAGGCTATTATTAGTAGTTTATTAATTTATTATTCTTATTTACTAGCCTATATAAGGCCTTAAACTTATTAAGGGCTATAGGTCCTATAAACTTATATATAAGTTCTTATATAAAGTTAAGGTACCTATATTATTTAATAAGAACCTCTTAGCGTTTCCCTTAGCTTACCTTCTTTTAGTATATAGCTTATATCTTCTTAACCTTAAATTCGTTATCCCCTTTTACCTTAATTATAAGCGGTTAAGCGTCTACTATTTCTTATATAAGTAGCGGGTTAAAAGAGGCTTAGTAAAGAAGGTTAAAGTTAATCTTATTATAAACCCTTATTAAGAAACTATTAAGCTTAACTACTTATAAGCTAATAACCCTTTATACTATAAACTTTATATATAGCTAGTTTAGCTTCTTTTTTAGTTATACTAACCTATAGTTATAGAGGTTAAGCTATACCTTATCTCTTACTATAAACCTATTTACTAGCGCCTTAGTTTTATTAGCGTATTACTCTTAATCTTATACTATAGCGACTATCGTAGATTAATAGTATTCTATAGTTTCTTATAGCTTTTATATAAATATAAAAGTATAGCTCTTTAGTAATATATTACTATACTACTTTACTACTATATTAGCGGTAAATAAGATTAAGAGGGCAGCTTAAATCTATACGTTATAAAGAAGGGGGCTATTTTAATAAAGGTTTATAGTTTACTATTTAGCGCGAGCTAAGTAGTAAGGAGCTAGCGGTCTTAGTCTACTTAGTTATAAGCTATAACTACCTATAAGTATACTTATACTTCCTAGTTAACCCTCTTAGGTCCCTTATTAGTTTATAGGTAATAAGCTATATTAAGTAGCTATATAATTTAAAGTAGCTAGTATAAGTACTAATAAAAGTAGTTAGTTTAGTTTAACCTTTTATTACTTATAATAAAGGCTAGCTAGTTATATAAGCGGGCCTAGTACTAAAGGAAGCGCTCTATATTAGCTTTTATATCTATAAATAGTATTAGCTTTAGTACTATTTATTTACTAAGTTAGTCCTTAATTACCTATATATAGTAGTTACTACCCTTTATAAGTAAGAGGTCTATTATAAAGTCTATTTATATATATATATAGAACTAGTTTAGTACTAAAAGCTACTTAAGTAGCCCCTTAAGCTATACCTTTTAGATCTTTATATAGCTATAGATATTATAGTTATAAAGGAAGTAACGAATATAGTACTATAAGAAGGGCTAGTAAAAGTATAAGGGAATATATATTATAGTACGATTAGTTATATAGTAGAGATAGCTAGAGGTACTATACTATATATATTATATTCTCCTTATTATAAAGCTAAAGTTTATAAGAAAAGGGATTTCTTCTCTTTTATTAAAGTAGTAAGTAGTCTATAATATATAAGTAAGGTAAGTATAATTCCCTATTAATACCTTACTAATATACTAGTACTATATACCTAAGTGCTTAATTAGCCTATACCTCTTAGTAGCACTCTTATAATTATCTCCCTTCTTATATAAACGTTTTAGCTATATCTTTAATATATATTACTTTTACTATACTATATATATTTAGTTAAGAAGAGAGGTAGTTTCGGTTATATATTACGTATATACGCTTATATAAGTATATATTAGTCTATACCCTATAACGTTAATAGTTATTATACTAGCGGTTACCGCTAAGTAACTATTATGGTATTACTTATATATTAGCTACGTAACTATAATATAAAGAGCGTATATATATATCTCTTACTTCTTTTATTTTCTTTTTTTCTTTAACTTTTCCGCTTATAATTACTATAGAGTTTTATACCTTTTTTTATTAATCCCTTATACCTTTTCATATTACTTTTTATTAACGATTTATTAATAATAATACCTTTTACGCTAAGGAAGATAAAGAACTATAACGCTAATTTCCTATGCTATATATAGGAGTAAGTAGTAGCGGGTTTACCCTTAAAGCGTAAGCGATTAGCCTAGAAGTCTTATAGTAACGCTAGTTCCCTCTTAGTAAAGAAAGCTAAGAAAGGTATAGGGGAATTCTAGTCCTAAGAGACTTCTAGTCTAGGACCTAACGTTAGCAAGGGTTATACCCCTATTACCCTACTAAATACCCTAACTCCGACTACTAATAAGCCTACCTTTATAGGCTAGGAAACTTATAAGTTTATTACCCTTATTAGCGATATTAATACTAGTAAGGAGATCGTACTTAAGCGCTCTTAAGTAAGTACTAATAACCTAGCTACTTTATCTTAATAGGGCGGCTCTAGCTAATAAGAGATTATTACCTAGGCCGCTCCTTAGAATAAGTAAGCCGATATTAATAATAAGGCTTAGCTAAATAAGGGCTAAGATTATCTTAATACCTAGCTAAATAAGGGCTAAGATAATAATAATAGTAATAATAAAGATAGTTATAATCTGACTCCTCCTACTAACGAACCTAAGAACGGCGGCGCTAGAGATAAGGGTACCTAGGCGGCGGTATAAGGCGGTCGCGCTCTTATAAAGAAGTATACTTAATCTAAGGCTAAAGCCCGCTTAGTTAAAGCCTAAGGGGTTATCCCTTATAAGCTTTAGTATATATATTATTTTAGGAAGGTTATTAAAGAGTATAGTACGACTAAGCCTAAGCTTATTAAGGTGCTCTTAATTAGTTATATTTTCTTAAGGGTTTCCTTAACGTATTATAAGTAGTACTATAAATATACCGCGACCTATAACTAAGTAAGTTTCTTATTAACTTTAAATATTATAATTAATAAGCTAATCTTTCTTAAAGCTACTACTCTTATATTTAGTAAATAAGCTAATATAGTCGCTATTATTAAGTACTTATATAAGCTTAATAAGCTAAAGACCGGTAATAAGGATACTAAGGATAATAGCTTAAACGTAGGCGTGCTTATTTTTAAGGAGGCTAATTAGCGCTATCTTTATTAGTAGGTCTCTTTATATATAAAGGGTAAGG